TTTTTTTACCTCGCTAACTCCTCTAACTCCTCATGGGGCGCCAAAACTGCAGAAGTACAAAATGATGTGCGCTGACTACCTGATGCAATAGTCCACTGGTGGGGTCAGTGGATAGCACAGGAGTTGAGCCTTTTCATTCAGCGTCATCAATAAAAAGAGAAAAACACAGGCAGAGACGATATACCCGATAAATGAAATGAGGTGGATAGTTTTTATTTATCGTGCGATTAATTGATTTATTGGTTAACGCGACAGACCTAGTTGCATTGTTTGTTTTTGTTTTATTACGCATTACTGCTCCTTCCCTCTGCGATTCACTGTTGTTTGGTTTGAATTGAGACTTTTAATTGCCATTTTTATCATGTAAATGGAAGGAGGAAGAGCAATAACAGCTCCAAGAATTGGCACAAAATAATCACATATCGGGGTTTGGTTGGGCTAATGCTAAAATGATTGACATTAGCCTTAACACTAGGACTCCCAGAATTCTGATCCTACTAGAACCTACAATGGCCATCAATTGGACAGGTGACATTTTTCCCAATGGAATGCATGAGTAGTGATGTCATCGGCTCAATCCTGTGAGTGATTATAGTAGACCAGGGGCTTTGGTTTGGCTTTTGGGCCGCTAAGTGTACCGGCTGAGGTGTGGGCAGTGTTATCCAAACCTTGAAAAAAAGTTTCACTATTGTCTGATGAGTCACTGATCCATCTGCGTTTTTCCGTCCGTGAGTGATCATCCTCGGAGTCGCTGTCAGAGTCTGAGCCGCTTCCTACCCAGTCCTCCTCATTTGTCTCTCCCTCTCTGCCCGAACCACTATCATCAATATTTCGAAGCATTTCTTGTTTCGGGGTTAGATTTCGGGGTTAGATTTCTTCTGAAAGCCATTTTTCGGTATTAGCCAAAGAGTTCTAGGGAGAATGCCGGTTGTTAGGCAACGGTACCGAACATCAATCAAACACGGGAAGAATTTCCGATGCAACTAACAGCAGTCAAAATGACGGCTGTGGGAGATCGGGCTACAATTAATCATATTTATCATTTACCTTTTTTATTTTATTAAAAAAGTGATGTGGATACATAGAAACAGGAAAGGTCTATTATTAATGTAATTAAAGTTATTTTTCCTTTAAAATCTCAGAACCGTCATAATGACGGCCTTGGGAGTTCTAGTGTTAAAATGCCTGTATTGGTCAGTCTTCCATAACAGGCTGCGGCATCTTTGGTCCATTTTAGTTATATTGACAATTTCCTCTCTGCTCACTGAATAAATGGGCATGATGTTCTTAGCCAAATGGTGTGCTGTGGCCTCTTTTATTATTTGTATGGCGTTGATGGTTTCCCACCTGCAAGACTGGTATTCAGGCAATTGATAGATGTTACAATTAATTATAATACAGAAGACGTCTTTTAAACTGCTTTATAAGTACTACCGAGCTATTCTAAGCAGGTAGGCAAGGAGACTTCCGTGCGCCACATTGAACGGTGAGCGGTTGGTGTCTGGTAGAGGAAAAAAATGGGGCTAGTTGCTCAATTAGCTTATCATACTTATTTCCATCCACCACCTTCTTTTTCCCAATGAGAGGAACTGTGGGAAATGTAGTAAACTTGTTCGCTTCACTGTGACTCCGGTAACGCTGTTGGTCTTAAGTATTTGGGACCCTTTAGCGGTCTATCTTTTCATGCTAACATCTTGCGAGCATTTGCTATTTTAAACTCCGCACAGCCTTATGTGGTTTTGTTGAATATAGCTATGGAGATTTGTTTCACTGATGCTTGCTATGGCTTGCAGAGTGCCTGTGTTTAAAGTTGTTTCTCTTAAAAACAAAATGTCTCCCAATTAAAACACACGTCGTCTTTTTAAACGTCACCAAGATTTTCCTCCTTTGGTCTCACTCTCCGACATTGCGACTCTCGCTAAACCTTTTCATTCGGCTGTTTGCTGTCCACCCATGTTAATAAAGCATCTTATGTAAAGAGATTGGCAGAATAGATGAGGTTGATTGGTCAAATACTTGTGAGTAATTGGCAAAACACTAATATGCAGCATACATGTAAACGTATAAGCCAGCCTTTTATCACAGTTCAAAAAGATTTGTGTTGTATGATTCACACAGGCCTTTATCACGATGGCGATAAATTTGCGTTACACGGTCAATGTCGAATTTATTAGTATAGCACATTTCCAGCAGGTTTAGCTTCACAAAATGCTCTCCAAGCAAAATAGCCAAGTTGTAAAAAGAAAAGTTATATAGTTGTAAAGATCAAGCACACAAAAAGAACACTCCAAAATAGCTGCTACAACTAGAACAATAAAATTAAATACTTAATGAATGAAAAGTTAAAAGAGAACAGCTATTTAAAAAATAAACCCAATTTTAGTCATCCTGCACTAAAACCCACTTGACAAATATGAGTCTAAAGAAATTATTTAAAATACTCCAGAGTTTGTGCAGATTTAATGTTAAAAGCTAGGCGGTTCTAGAGTCTGGGATCTGCTGCAGTAAAGGCTCTGTCTACCCTAGAAATAGCTTTAGACCTGGGAATAGTAGCCATAATCTTAAGTCCAATTCCAGTTTGATTGCTAAAAAGAAGATAGTTTATAGATTTGTCTGGTCACTAATTTCCCATATTTATCCATTAAGTTTTTCCTGCTAAAAAGTTTTCTCATGGCTGAAAAACCTTCCTTGATTTGTTGTTAACTTAATTTTAATTTTTTTCTGCTTTTCTTATTTTCAGGCTTCTCTAGGAGGTTCAAGTCCAGGTAATTAAACCACTTTTACTCTTCTTATATTTGATTTTAAACCATTTTTTAAGTGTTTTGCTTTATATGAGTAGTAGAAGGACTCTGATGGGTTGAATACAATTTTATTTTTATTTTTTCAGTTGGCTCTTTATCATCAGAGGACCATGACTTTGATCCAACTGCAGAAATGTTAGTTCATGAGTATGATGACGAAAGGACCTTGGAAGAGGAGGAGTCTTTAGACGGTGGGAGGAACATCCACTCTGAACTGGCAGATCTGGAAAGGGTAAACCTTTACTTTTGTGTTTTGACTTAAAAATAATGTATTCATTCAACTGATTTTATTTATAAGGTATTCATTTATGATATATGGATTCATAAGGTCCTTTATTGAAAAAAAAAGTTAATTGAATCCAAACATGGACAGATTCGCTGTCTGTTTCATGCATTCCAATTTGATCCTAGTTATCAACGCATCAAAGTGAAATTTCTGAGTCTACACATAATTTTTTTTTTTTTACATCAGATCACAATAACACTGAAGGGCCTTTCTTTCTTTCCCATCAGGAAGGGAACATGCCTTTGGAAGACCTTTTGGCCATTTATCGCTATGAGGCTTCAGCAGGCTCAAGTATAGACAGTTCCTCTGGAGATCTGACTGATGAGCTGCCAGACATGACATTGGATAAGGTAAAGACCTGCTGACAATTACATGGATTCCAAATTATTTTACAGAAACATTGTAGGCTATCTAACTTATAAGGGATTTCTTTTGTGTCTCTTTAGGAGGAAATAGCGAAAGATCTGTTATCTGGGGATTATGAGGAGGAGACCCAATCTTCAGCTGATGACCTGACCCCATCTGTTACTTCTCATGAAACCACAGATTTCTTTCCAAGAACACTTCGATGTAAGTTAACAAAATTATGTCTGTAAAGGATCATTGGAAATCATAGGAGTTCACTTCTGGCTTTAAAGCATTATAGACAGCATTGAAAATTGTTTATGTCAAATTCTAACGTGATGTCCTTTTTTAGGGCCCAAAGATCTCCTAAAACACTGGCATACGCTGAATTTTCTACGTATTTTTTTTCAATTTTGGGTGTATACATAGAGTATTGTCCGACAGCCTAACTTATACTTAATGCACGACAGCGTAATACCCATGATATGTCACAAACCAGTGTCCTGATGGGGGCAGTGATGCGCCTGGCCTGCATAAAAAGATTGCGGTAATAACCTTGCTGCTGTTTACTGGCCGCCAAAAACAGAGGAAAAAAAAAGAAATGGAAAGAAAGACAGTTTACAGTCGCAGCAGATTCAGCATCATGTCTAGTAGGAATCTTGCTGGTCGTTGCCGTGGGCATGGCCGTGAAGGCAGGGAGGTTCCATCACACACACCTTCACGCTCACCCTATGATGCGGATGAAGTCTGGAGGACTACAGATGGTTTCTTCGTGTTGACCCCCTTTTATACCAAAAAAACGCTGCCAACACGCCGTTAAACAGTAGCTATAAGTTAGAAACATGTTCAGATGTCGTCTGGAACACATTAGATACGTTAGTATGCGTTGAAGATAAATTCTTGATAAGTTACACATAAGTCATGTACAAGTTACTCATAGTTTTTTGATAAACTAGACACAACAACTTATTATTTACTTACACTTAACGTATGTCAACGATCGAATAACTTACCTGTAACTTATGCCCCATGTATGGCATACGTTATTTTGAGCATGCTCAAAATTTCTCTAGATTTTTCATACGCCAGGAATACGCTGGTCTAAATCATCAAGGCGTGACAGGGGCATTGCTAACAACTAGGGCTGAACAGTTTTGACAAAAATCTGAATTGCGAATATTTTTCACTATTGCGATTTTATTTGGATTTTCCTTTGCTCGAACCCCAAGCTTGTAGATGTTTCACCTGAAGCTTTTGGTTTTTGAGAGCTTGGTTGCCTGGAGTCCATTGTTGCAGGACCTTACTGTAACCACTGCGTGAGAAAGTGTTTACTTTTTACTTGTATTCACGGATTTGTGAGCTAGGTGCGATTCTCTCTATCTTTCTGTATGGCGGCAAACCCCCTTCAAGCGTTTAACCACCACCCAAAGAGGTGGAGGGAAAATTTTGTCTCCTGCTCTTGTTAAATATGCTGTGATTAAAAAATCAGTGCCCCTGCGAATTGAAAATTGCATTTTGTTAAATTGCAAATACAATTAATTGCCCAGCCCAACTAACAACTGGCTACAGTACAACACAATGTGCATCGATCTTTCATTGCCACCAAAAAACAGGATTAATATGTAGTTTCATGGGGAAAACTGTTTTTAAGAGTGATCAACAAATGTTTTTTGTTGCATCATATTGAGGCCTGGTCAACTAGGGGTCCTAAACTGTTTAACAGGTGGAGGATCAGAACAGGTGTGCATTTTATTACATTTTTCAGAGCTAAATGAAATATCGTTGATTGTTTTGAGGTTAATTCAAAAGTCTAAAGTTTAAGACTCTGAACTAGTAGATAAAGGAATGTATATTAATGTGTCTTTTACATTTTTTTTTTTTTTTTTTTTAGCCAATGCTGTCTCTGATGGGGATAAAGAATCAGAGTGTGATGACCTAGGGCCAAGCCCTGATGACTCTGGAAAAGTAAGAAATATGTTTTATTATGAAATACATGAAGAAAAATTTACTTGATGTTTCTTTAAATCACACCTAGATACATATGTTCTGTTTTTTCTCTCTTAATTTAAGGAAATCATGGTAGGATCAGAGTTCCAAGCAGAGGTGCCATATACGCTCTGTCACTATGAAGATGGTGAAAAAGGTAACATTTGCTTTTTGGCAACATACACATAGCACATGATTAATTATTACTTTGTACAAGATTGCCAATTCTTAGTAAGAATTGCACATCTCCTGTTTTAAACAGTGTATGAAGATGATGACGAGTTGCTGTGGAGCCCTGACGTTTTGTCAGAAAACAAGGTTAGGAGTTACCTCTCTGAAGTATTGTCACGGACGACAGATGAAAGCACAGGATATGACAAACCAGGGATGCATGTTCGAGATGATGAGCAGGTGGGTCATCTCTATTGACAGTAATTTGATTCATTACACTGAAATGTTTTGTTACTTTAGAAGATTTTAAGGTACTTATTATCCAATATATGATGCATTTTGCCCCTTTTATTTTTAATCTAGGCTTTGTATGAGCTTGTAAAATGTAACTACAACACCCGTGAAGCACTAGAGAGGTACTGCAGCCACGAGAGATCATCTAAAGGTAAGAGAACGTTTTTTGTTTTGTTTTTTAACTACAAGATGTAACCATTGCATTGATGACAGGTCCGTTTTTAGAAGTAATGTCAGAGAAAATTTAGTCAGACTTTGATATTATTATTTATTGACTAAAAGCTGTAATCTTTTTACATTAACTTGTGAAAATTAAATTTTTAAGGATGTGTCAATCATTTGGACTGATGCTTTTTGGTAAATTCAGCCTTTTACTTTTTAGATGTTTGAGCGATCAATGTTGATTATTATGTCTTCGTGTTTTAGAAAAATCTCCTCCATGGTCGGAGGAAGAATGCAGGAACTTTGAACACGCTCTCCAGATGTATGACAAGAACTTTCACCTCATTCAGAAACACAAAGTGAGAATTCTTTCATTTTTTTCCCCTGATGTTTTTTCATAAATGAAAATAAAATGTATTTATCTGAACGATAATACTTTGTTCCCTCAGGTAACGACACGGACGGTAGCAGAATGCGTCGCATTTTATTATATGTGGAAGAAGTCTGAGCGCTTCGACGTCTTTGTGCAGCAGAATCGGTTTGGCAAGAAGAAATACAGCAGCTATCCTGGTGTAACGTAAGTGGATGCAGCATGTGTATTGGACCTAATGGTCAAGTGTGATCCTTTGCACACGGAAAAGTACATTTGATGTTGAAATAACGAACGGGTTGTAATGTTTTGAGCAGTGACCTGATGGACAGGCTGGTGGACGAAGCAGAAGGACTGGCAGTGGACAGCTCGTCCTCTGTGTGTTCAGGGACAGGTGGAGGAAGGATGGAGACCACAACAGAGCAGCAGCTCAGTCTGCTGAACTCCATCACTGCTAGCGACCTCACAGGTTGGTGTGCGACTTGGATTTGGAGTGGTTATAAAATTAAAAATGTTTTTCCTAACCTGCCAGATGTTTGTGTCCGTTCTATTTATCTGTTCTTTGCTAACGCCACTCTGTCTCCTGTCAGCTTTGAGCAACACCGTAGCCACAGTATGCACCCCTGGGGAGGTGGGTTGCTTGGACTCCTACAGCTTCCCTCTGGAAAGCCTCCATCGTGGATCCTTGAACCACGACGAATCCCTCGGGTTCTCTTCCAACGGCGCTGACCCCGACTGCCTCAACATGCTCGACGCAGGATTCTACCACCCAGAATTGGGGCAGCTCGGAGGAGTTTGCGTCAACAAAGACTGCGAGCGACCCTCCAAGAGACTCAAGATGACATTGCCTGACTCATTTATCAATGATGTTTCTGTCGCTAACCTGGGGGTTGACTTTGAAGCCCGACGGACAACAACACATCACCACCGGATCACCGGGGCCAAAATGGCCGTGTCCGTCACAGACTTTGGGAGTTTAGCTGGCAGCGGCGAGCCCAACGGGTTTCTTTCAGCGCACGCACGACACCACACACAACACACTGCAGCACTTCAGTCAGAGTGATCTTCCTCGTCTTCTTCCTCTGTTCTTCCCTTTTGAAACATTTTTTTTTTTTTTTTCCTTGCTTGTACATAAGACTGACCTTACTGGAAAATCTTGTTTAAATTCTATTATAAATATATATATATATATATATATACATATCTATATGTATATGGATATACTTTGTTTTCATTTTTTGTGTAATATGACATCAGTGATGTCTACCATATAGAACTAAATCTTGATTTCTCTCAAGAGTTTATATAGCCATTTGTTTTATTATTTTGTTTGCGTTTTCGAGATGTTTAACGTCCGTGTCGTGGGGCCCAGAAGCTGCAGTAGGAGAGTTTGGAATCTTCTTTTCTTGCATATACAAGCTTCTTCAGCGCTACACTCTGTTATCCTGCCATTCTTTTCAGCTGCCAAAACAGATGTTCTGCCTCTAGTGTTAGCAGTTAGATGCTTGTCGTTATTTGGTGTGGTACTTATTTAATTTCTTTTTTTCTAAAGTTGTGTTTGGTTTACAGGTACCTTCAGTAATTGGAATGGTGCATATTGTTTTTTTTTTGTTTGTTTTGTTTTTTTACCCTGTCCCGAAGCAACACTAGCATGCAGATTACCTGAAAGGCCAGGAAGTGTTATGACCTAAACTGCATGAGCCCTTTAGTCCGAGTTATTTATAGAGATGCACCAATCAGAATCTTGTCGCAGGTTTTTTCACAAAGCTTTGACCTTAAACTCTCTAATTTTGTTCCACATCTTAATACTCTTTGAGTTGCAAGAAGATAAGAGAACAGCCAATCACAATAGCGTTTGATTTGCCATTAGTGGTGATAAATAATTTATATTGGGAGGAGCAGTTAGGCGTTGCTTTATGTTGGAGAGCTGTTACTGTAAAACAGATTTTAGTATTAAAAAACACAATCTGATCACAGAATTGGTATTTTGTTAGCAGTCAGATTAGCATTGAATAATCCTAATCATGATTTGCATTCAAATGAGAATGAAGGTCCTTCATTTTGTTTTCCAAAAGGCATCATCACCGTCACATCTAGCATGTTCTGACAGACGGTAAAACGCAGAGCAACTTAACAAAATTCCAATTTTTTTTTCTATTTTTTACTTGCACTCTTGCAACCTGAATAAACTGCAAATATAAAAAAAAGTTCTCGCATTTTAAATCCCCTTGCTGATACTGTAACTTAGTTTTCACTCAGTTACAGTATCAACAGTTAGGGTTTTAATGTTGGTATGTGATAGTGCTTGCATATGATGCATTAATACATTTAAAGTCTTTTTTTTTTTTGTTATTTGAAATTGTAGTGACAGTTTGTTGGTGCATCTCTTGTCTGAGTTGACTAATTTAAAAGGTGCAAATCTTTGAACAATCAGATTTTTTTTTTCTCCCTATAAACCCAAATTCTTGGCCTTTGATTTGCTCTAATACCATCTTCTTAACAGCTGGAGAAGAAAGCTTTTGCAGTCTGGCATAATGGGAGTCGTACAGTTTTCCTTTTTCTCCCTGTCGTGAAATCTTCCTCTGAGCTAACTGTAACAGCAATATAGCAATGCAACGACTGGTTGGGGTAATAGCCATGTAAACACTGACACAATATAGCTCTGTATTTATTGAATACACTTTGACCTTTCTGACTTAATTTAATTCTTTTGAGTTTATTCATGCTGCTCTTTGGCACGTTTTCCTGTATAGTTCCTTATTACATTTGGTAGAATATGTTCCTTAATCACGTAGCGTCTATTTGTTTTTCCACTATTGGCATGTTTTGCTTTACCAGCTGGTGTTGTTTTGTTTATTTAAAGCCTCTCTTGAGTTGTTTGTAACCTCTGCTTAGCCTGTGCTGATGAAAGATTCCTTTTGAAACTTGATTGACGATTTCACGGTAGTCTAGTAGCAGAAATGGAGCGGTTTTTACTTGACTGAATTCCTTAATTGTAAAAAACAAAAAAAAAAACAAAGGAAGAAGGTTGGGCAGGTTGGCGTCAGTAAATTGGATGCAGTAGTAGTGTTTACTTAATTTATCTATGCATCATGCTATGGGTGTTTAGTTTATTTCAGGGGCACATAAAGTCTGTTTTGTCCAGTAGGTGTTTGCATTTTCCCCATGTTTGTGTAAAGATCAAATGCACACCCATCTACCATCACTAAGTTCCTTCATGTAAAATTGGTTTAAAGGCCCAGCATTAGAGAAGTTAGCTTCATCTGCATTTCATGTAAATAATTAGCAAATAGCCTTTAAAAAGCCTATTAACTGACCTCTTACACTTGTGAGTCTGTGTTGATACAAAGGTTTTAAATTTGATTCTCTGTCAGAAAGGCAATAATTTGTAGATATGTACAGACTTATTTTTTTTCTCCTCCCCTCACATTTAAAGATTCGACTTGTTCAAAATATAATTTCTCTGTTGGGAAAGTCAGCCAAAACAGCAGGAAGCAGCTGAAACCATGCATGTTCGGCTGGGCCTGCCTCTCCAGTGTACCACAGAAAACAGCTTTACCTGAAGATGTGCTGGTAGTACCCGGTGGTGCGGTTTTTGCAGCCATGTGTAAAAGACACTCACCTTTCTTTCCTAGATCTTTTTACATGTTGTCGATATTTGTATTGATGGTAAAGGGATGGCTGCTGATTCAAAGTTTGGAGGTGGAGCCCGTGTCTCTTTTAATGCAATGTGCATAATGCAGTAGGTCCTCCAAGCTCTTCTAGCTTTAGCAGTGCAGTGATATTTATTTCACCTGTGGTTTGTACAAAGACTAAAAACTGTCAGAATGTAAAGGCCATTAAGTAGTTTGAGTAGGTTCTCACCTCCCTGTGAACTCGAAAATGTGATATTTTATTGATATCTCTGGTTTTGAGATTTGTGCGTGCAGGAAAGCACTAAGCAAATTTATTTTATATTTTGTATTGTGTTTAGAAGTTTAAAAGTGAAACAGAATATAGCAGTCAGTGGTTTTGAAAATGAAAATTCTCTTCCTTTGAAAACAATAAACACCTTTGTGAATAAAAACACCCTACAAAACCTAAACATGTATATCCAGAAATATAGACAATCAAAAACCTCAGTATGAGAAATGTTCAAGAAGCTATCTTTATTGTTTATAAAATTGTACATAAACATTGTTTTTTTTTTCTTTTGTTAAACATTATTTTGTATTTTCTGTTGTACTTTAATACCTTGTGTACAGATCCAGAAATAAAGCTCTGGAAAAGGTTCAGAGATGATTGCATACCCTTTTATTGGTATATATTACAGCGATAGTATATTGAATACAGTCGCAAAGACAAAGTTTTAGATAAAAAAAAAAAAAATTAAATACAAAATGATGAACGAAAAGCTTTTGAAGAATAATGGATCAAAAACGGTTTTGAGTGTGCAAGTACCTGGCTTTAATCGGTAGAACCAGATGCCTGTTAGGAGTTAGGGAAGTGAAATGGAGGCTTGTTGCACAAACCTATTACTTATTCTCTGCTTGTTCAAAACAGACACCACTAACCTTTAAGTAAATCAAGTTTAAAGTTAAAGGGTTTTAAAGGAGTTTTTCATAAACAGTCCTGAGTGGGTTGATGTTTTTTTTTCTTTAAAACTTAGTGTAGAAATTTGACTGAAATGGTCCTGAAAATTGAAAAAACGTCCTCACCTTTACATTTCGATTGTTGCATCCAACATTAAAAAAAAAAGGACGTCAACACGGGTCTCTAAACACTGAGAAATGGACATTTATGCATGTGCTGCTACACGTTAACTAAGCTGACTGCGTAACAGAAACAAGAATGCAGCGCCCAATAAAAAATGACAGATTGGCAGCAATCACTATTCATGTGAAATTTCAAACTATTAAAAACATTCAAGTATTTTAAAGGAAGGCATCCTTTCATGACGGATTTCAAAATCTTTACAGTAGAGATCGTCCAATACAGGTTTCCTGAGGCCGATGCAGATCCCTGATCTGTGCTGCCGAAGTGTTTTTGCAGATTTTTGGCGCCGATATGGATTTTCTTGATTTAGATTAAATAAAAGGAAAATAGCTATATTTCCATTTACCATCAAATGGTGCATGTTTTCATTATGAAAATTAATTTGCTTAATGAAAACACTGCAATTTTGAAAAACGCTTCGAATTTGTTTTTTTTGGTCATATTGAAATTCTATTTTGCAAAACTGCAATGGAAATTTATTATTTTTTTTGCATCATACAATTCCCATGATCTGCAACTGACCTTATTGCCTAGTAAAATGATGGAAGACTACAAGTAGTTGGATGATGGCCCCTTCTAGAGCTGTCTAAAATATTGCATATTCATTTGTTTAAAAATATGTCAGCAGAAGATGTAATGTGTCAACAAACATATTCACATCCAATGTGTACTTATTAAATGGAAATGCAAAATTAGCAGAGTATCGACGTAGTTTCGCACACATTTGTAATGGAAACACAGCTAATGATAAAAAATGTTAATTCAAACAAAAAAAGGAATATTGACAAAGCTATGAATGAAAAGCAGAGGGAAGGAGCAGAAATTGATGCACTTTATGTGATCTCAATTCATGGCTGCTGAAAGCACTAATGAATCAGCCATGTTTCAACGTCTCGGTCAATGCTGATACAAGAAAAAAAAGCTAACAATGGCGAAAATATCGGCTGGACGATGTATCAGTCCATCTCTACCTTCCAGGCTTTGAGCTTATTTTCTTAAACTTAAGGATTTGAAGGAGCTGTGGGAACTCTGCTCCTGTTTATGCTCATTATGGAGGCACATTTTTTTATATAAGTTATTTCAATTAAGTAGGATCTTTATATTTCATTCAGTTTCCTTCTATTTTCACCCCCTTTTCAGTGTAAAAAAAAAAGTGAACTAATGCCTAAAATGATGCAACTCATCAACTTGGTGGCTGATTGAGATAAAAACTTCAGCAAATCACAGAAAAGGACGAATATATTCAGGAAAAGTTGAACATATATATATTGACCTTGTAGCTTGGGTTGCACCAATCTGGGAAGACTTCTGATACATTTGATTGTTATGCTGGTGAAGATTCTCAGTCATCCCGATCATACATTAAAAAAAAAAAGTTAAACAATCCACTGGACTTTTTTTCCCCAAGTATAAAGACATTTCGCTTCCCATCCAGGAAGCTTTTTCAATTCAAAACATCAGGAATAGCGTTGAGTTCGAGGCTTTATTCAGTAGCCCAACAAAGCCTTGTTTCTGTTTTGAAAACATGCAAATTGACACTGACCCAATCGATTGTTACGATAAAAAGAATTTTAATGTATAAACAAACAATACAGAATCGTTGTTCTTTGTTTTTGGATTCATAGCATCAGACAGATGAGGAGTTTTCCATTTAAAACAATTAAATGCATAACTTTCCCCTCAAAAAGTCTTATTGAAAAGGTTGCCTCTGGCTATTATCTGCTGGTTCTAGGTCTACAGGAGAATCAGAACCAGATGAAATATCAATACATTAAAGCATTAGAATCAGATCTTTAGTGATAATTAATGATGTGGGAGAGAGAAAACCTAATGCTTATTTGTCTTTACTTATTATACTTGAATAATTTAATCATATGAAAACAGATTGTATGTCTGGGCATATGTAGATATGTACCAATGGAAAAAATTGTCATGGTGAACAACTCAATGAAGAGTGATGACTAAATTACAAAAATTAGCTAAATGGTATCCGCTTAGATCAACTCAAACCTTAATGGCTGGAGGTTTTCTAAGGGGAATAGGAATAGTCATAAAGTCCTCAGCCAGAGTCACCTCTACACCACTGTCCAGTAAAGCCTGCTCAGCCTGGTTCTTGAGCTCTGAGACGTCGTCCTCATCTCCCTCTTTCTGTAAGGAACTGGGTTTGTAGCGCTGACTGAAATGGTAAAGGACCAGCCTCTGTGCACAGCAGGCCCGAGCCACAGCTGCTGCCATCTGAGGCGTGCTGTGTCCGTGCTCTACAGCTTTCTCCTGGTGCTCATTCCCGAGGGTGGCCTCGTGAACCAGAACGTCCGCCCCATTGCAAAGCCGGCAAGCTCCTACACCAAGAACCGAGCTACAGTCACCTAAAACACAGATTTTCCTCCCAGGAATATTGGCTTCCAGAACCTCGCTGGGAAGCAGCAAGCGTCCATTTTCAAGAACCACAGATTCGCCAGCTTTGAGACGGCCGTACACTGGTCCGGGTTTAACACCTGCAATTAAAAGAAGAATTATAAGAACCATAAAGCCTTTACACTGGCTAGAGTTAACAGTTACAAAAACAATGCAAAAAGTACATTTGAGATTTAATTTTTTTTTTTCATAATATGTTCTAATTCACTCCTCCATCTAAGCACTAACTTTCAAATCTAAACACCAAAAATTATTTAATAAAGGCGTGGCGGTGAGAAAAGAAACTAAAACAAAAACAAAGGGGCATCTTTTTTATTTCTTCAACAGCACTGAGCAAGAAAGGTTTCCCATACGGTGGTTAACATTGAATTCAAAGACTTTTCAAGGAATTTTCAGGACTAATTATCTCAAATTTATGGATCACAAAAACAGAAAAATAAAGCTGCATGTTACTAATAATCCATTTTAAAGTTATGCAAATTAAATAAACAGCATATAAGTTGCTGGATCTCCATCTTATTAATTATAAACTAGGGCTGCAACTAACAATTATTTTACTAATCAATTAATCTGTTGATTATTTTTCCGATTAATCAATTAATAATCAGATAGAGAAAGGTTCCTTAAATAAGATTTTATACAGAATTAAACCAGATGAAACAAAACTTTTCGACTTGTGGAGTTCTGGATAGAGCATATTGATAGACTTTGTTTTTTTTATTTAAAATGCAATAATTTTTATATATTTTTTTCCACATTTTTTGTACAGCTACTGCTCTAAGTGAGTTCCTCTGTCAGCTAAAGGCATGTTTTGCAGTCTCAACACTCCAGTTAACGATTTATCGATTACTAAATTAGTTAACGATTATTCCAATATTTCTTTAATCACAGTTTATGCGATTAATTGTTTCAGCCCTAATATAAACGATGTAGAACAAAAGCATTTGCTCTATAAGGCGAATGTTGAAAAAAACCTTGCAACCGGGCAGTCAAGGTTACCAGGTAAACGCAAAATATTGCAATTACGTTGATCGAACCTTTTCTGCCAATGTCACAGTTATATCAGAGGCCAAAATACTGAAAAAAAAGGTTCCTAGCATCTCTTAAATGGTGAAAGGGATTATCATGTTCAAAGGCTGTACAGGAGATATCTATACTAGAATATATATTTATTTTGTTCCATTTCAAATTATTCTTCTCAATTATTTCAGGGTAAAAAAAAATGCATTTTCTGCGAGAAATTCAAAAGACACTCCAATCCATGTGCGAGTATTTGTTACCAAGCTCCTTCAGTAGTTCTGTCTTCAGTTTTCCGGGACGATCGTGTTCCTGGATGCAGAAGCCGAAGGAAGGGATGCGGTGGTAAAGCCTGAAAGCCTTCACAACAAACTTGTTGTCTTGGAAAAGGAGGTAACTATCAGTAGAGTTGTCCAGGGGGATAGTCCTGCCAGGCTGCTCCTGTGGATGAGGAGGACTGCTCTCTTCAACCATCTACAGCGGGAAAATGTAAACAAATGTAGAGAAGCTGAAAAAGCGATCGTTCCACATCGACATGATGGCGAAGGCTCAGTTTAACAGTCTGGATGTCAATGACCCATTTCTCCTGATCACAGGTGAAGGTTGGTGCAAAGACAGAGCAGTAAATCAGGGTTTTTTCTGTTTGGCTCAGCTTTATTTTTACTTTTCACTCATTCTTCAAAAGTTAAATTAAACTTACCTCTAGGCTGAGCTGTCCCTCCTCTGGACACTGGTCTGGAGTGGGTTCCAGCTCATGAACTACAGCAACAAAGAAGAGACAAACAAGCAATTACATAAGCAAGGAAAAGGCCACCTCTACAAAATATCCAATACTGAAAACAATTGGTTTGCAATATATCCATTTTCAATTTTGGCAATTTTAGCAACAACATGTTTGCTTTGGACATACCTCCATATGGGAAGAGCAGCTGTGATCCAGTGAGGCCAAGAGTCACCCTGAGAAACTTTCTGAGACCCCGGGGCCCGTAGATGTCCACACACTTCAGGCTCTGGTGGACGTCTGGGTTGGTGTTGAGGCTCACGGTGCAAAGAAGTCCAGGCAAGCCGAACAGGTGATCTCCATGCAGGTGAGAAATGAAGACCTTGGTGATGCGTCCTGTGTGCACATCATGACCAGATATTAAAAAGGCATCAAAAACAAAACTAAGTTCTAAACTCATACAAATAGTTTTTCATAACCTTTATCATTTTTTATTTGTTTTTTTTTAGACACCACTTTGCAATGATTTCTGCATATTCACATCATCCTAACAAAGCAGAAAGATCAGAAAGGTTGCTTTCAAAAGGAATGGTAGTTTAAACCATTCTTTCCTTAAGAGTGGGTCCATTCAAAGTTGGAAAAAGCGTTCATCATAACTTTAAATCCAACAAGCAATGATACTAAAGCCAGTTAATCCTAAATCAACCAGTAACAGAACCAAGAACTTCAAATGAAAAAAAATGTTTCAATTGTTTCAAAGAAAGTTTTAGACGTCCAAGACATATTGGACAATTACGATCCATAATTTGTGGGAACACTTTGAAGCTGGCCCTCTCTATTTCCGACATGACTGTGCAGCAGCGCCTAAATCAAAGACCATAAAGACATGGATAGTACGAGTCTGGTGTGACCGGGGAACTTGACTAACCTGGCAGTAGCCAGATTAACTCAGATCTCGCAACTATCCAGCTTGCAGCGTGAATCCTGACCTAAACCCTACACAAAAACTGTAGGAGGAATTCATTCATTGTCCAAACTTTAGGCTGGATTCATTTAGAACTTCTGTAATGTTTTAACTAGTGATGTTATAAGCAGAGGCCTTCAGGCATGGGTCGAGTAATGGAGGGAGCTTGATTCATATAGGGGAAGGGCCAAAATTGATGACCTCAGAAGCCTCCCTACCGTGGTACCACGTGACCACTTTGGGAAGTGGTTCAGAGAGCACAAGAACTTCGACAGCCTCACTACTCAGTCAAGATGTGGGAGTTTGTAGGAGAGTTGCTGTCAGTTGGATAACAGATTCTAAGAATCGATTGGTTGTTTTTCCAACCAGTCTAGTTGGTTAATACAATTTTAGTTAGATGAAACAATGTAATGATCAAAATCTGAGCAAACCACTGGACACAGTTGTAACTTTAGTTCTAAGTAGTATTACTGTCTACTAACTAGTTAATGTTAGTGGTGTCAGCTGTAAGACGCTGGCTTCCATCCCTAAGGATGGTGGTTCAAGACCCACATTAGGATTTTTAAAGTTGCAAGTTCATGAAGCTTCATGTGAACATGTCACCACCTACTGGTGGAGGGCAGAACTACATTTAGTAGTAGTAATAACATTTGTGATTCATGAACCGTTTAGTCACTAAACATGACGCTTCATCTCACCATCACTGGTTTTAACTCCCGTAGCTGCTTTATTATTTACGTCCAAAAAACAGAGGGATCAATTTATTCCTAACATTTGTACGGAAAGTGTGTCTTACATCTGACTACATTGTATTTTAAAAGTCATAGTGCATAAAGGAGCCCAGTGGGTAAAGTATGAATTAATAATGGCAACAAGTAGAAGAGATGGGTAGATTTATTTTAGAATATTTAAAGTTTCAATCTCTTTATTTCTAGAACTTTTACAGGGACTGAATGTTGTGCAGCTTCCTCACCAGCTCTGAGCTGGCTCTTCATCAGCTGGGTCTGGGTCCCCTCTCCGCAGTCAAACAGCCAGCACTCCCCATCCGTCCGCAGCACCAGGGCCGAGGCGCCGCGGTGAGGAGACGGATATGCCGAACCGGTTCCCAGGAAGGTCATATCCATTGACATTCTCCTAATGCTACAGAAGATCAGCTAACTTTGATCCACAGTGACGTGAGACATGCCTGATGCCGCCGCCTGCCTGTGCTTGTCGCAACATGATGACGTGCTTTGTGCGACGGAGCGGCTCCTACTAAACGTTGTGGGGTGCGTTCAAATTCATTGGTTGCGTTTTCCAAGGAGCCGGGTCTACCTGGACTGGATCCTTCGAAGTCCGTGAAAATAAGGAGACCGGAAGGTTTATGGCCGTGAATTCACACTTTTCTAAGGTCCATATTTGTGTGACCATTTTTTTTCTATAATATCTTTGCTGTTGTAAACACCAAAATATCCCTACTGTGGAACAATTCTATTCTATCATATTCTATAAAAGGGGTAGAAATATATAAGTAAATATAAACAGTGGATGTATAAAAAATATGTCTGCAAAATCTTGTATTCAACAACAAAAAATACTTAGTTAAGCAAATTGTGCAAAATAGCAATTAGAAAATACAAATCCTATTAGATTTATAGTCCTCCACACTGCATATATATTAGAATCTGTAATTAAATTACAGCCAAACTCATTTACACAGTAAGAGATAAAAAAAAAAAAAACCTTTAGATAAACCAAACATTACCGCCACATATCTGACTCAATAACCATTTAAAACAACCATTTTCATTCATTTCGGATGGAGCTATTTATATTATTTTAATCTACGAAACGGAACTTTCAATATTCACCACAGTCAGACACCATGTGCCTTTTTTCCCCTCTGATCACGGAGCAGCCGGCTTGCTTGGTCTCGCAATGAATCCCTTGCTTTAAAAACTATTTTTAATTAAAAATGGTAATTTTGCGATAGCTGATATTGTAAAGATACAATTACATTTCAGCTTTGGTAAGAAGAATTACTTGCAAAAATTATTGTTTTCCTCTAAAACAATGGTTCCAAATCCCCTTTTTAGATGAAAGAACATGTTTCATTTTTTTAACAATCAAGGCCCCAGGCTAAGAATGGTTAAAGAGAAAAGAATTAAATTGCAGTGACGTCTAGTGCAAAGTATCTATAGCATGATCATTGGGGTGCATAGTCATCTAGTACCGTTAGTGAAACACTTATCTGGACCAAATAATTGCAGCATATAGAAGATCATTTTACAGCATTCCACTTTTCCCCATTTCAACCCAGTAAACCTGCCCGAGTTAAACTCCAGAGAAACTATGAAGAATTAATAAGATGATAAAACTTAAAGCAGATGACCTGAGAACATTTATGAAAGCAATTTGTTTTAGAAACAGTTCCTTGTTGCAGCATACTCTGAGGACAAAAGACGACCCAAGATCAAAAAGAAAACTCACCGGACAAGAAAACCAATAGAGCATTAGGATTTATTCTGCAGTTTTAAAATATCAAGTATATCACAGTAGCAAATATATCATCTGACTGAAAGTGTACCAACAATACAGTTAAAGAGGTTGGAAGGGCACAGCGGTGTGAAAACAATGCCATCTGGAAAGAAAAGAAAATATCTGACAGTTACAAATTGCCTTTAACACATCAATATAGAGGAAAGCTGCACATTGAATACTGAAGTCAAACCAATCAATATAAAACATAAAACACTTGTTCTTCAGGTGTAAAACATGAGGTAAGGGATATGGCAAAATGTATAAAATGACATGGGAGCACCCAGGGATCCCCCACATTGAGACACAGGATGAGAGAGAGGGATGCTGCAGTTTCCTCCTGGGCTGGTTAACCTCACCAACACAAACAAAAAAAAATAATGGATGGATCATTCTCTTACAATACATGTCACAAATGTATTATTTTGCCTTTTAACAGTCATAAGAATTGAGTATAAGTAAATCACATCTCCAGACGTTACCTTCCGAGACGCAGCTTTTCTTCTGTGAGCTGCAGGTTTCCTACATTAGCTGTTGTCACATCTTTCAGGGTGGATCACCCCATTTAATAAAAACCTAGTTTATCAACCTGATATATAGCATGTGGACAAAAAGGGACATTTTAAAGAGAAAAAATAAAAGCCATAATATGGAGTAACCGAAAAGTGCATAGGGCCTTAATAATTAATTTAATAATTTTATACTAGTATAAGTAATGTCAAGGGCCTGTTGCACTAAAGGAGTGTTTAAACATAATATTAAAATAAATATAAGGTGACACAAGTATATAAGTCATGTAATAAAATATGACTATTACCTTTTCTGCATCTGCCCTCAGTCAAATTAGAAATGTAAGTTTTCCTTTTTCATCGGTTTTGCACACTACCCAATTCCACCACCAGATGGCCCTCCATTACAAAAACACTATTAACCTGTGGAGAGAAGGGTAGTTCTCCCACAAGTCAATGCTCCTTCATCAGTCTGTTTCCACTCCAATTCCCACAGATCCAAAGAATGTGATTTTGATGCAAATGTATGTTTGCATCAACATCACTTTAATCAGAAATTGGGGTGGAAAAAGAGAGAGAAACAGGTCTACAGTGACACAGGCCACACTGAGAATGCATTTTTACTTCTAGTTGATCTTAGGACTGAAGTTGACACCAGGCCAGTCATAAGTATCTGGCAGGAAGGAGTCGTAGGCTGTGTTCCACCCAATGGCACGTACAAAGCCGTTCTTGTCCAGAGGTTCAGGGTAACGGAACGCCATGCCTTTGGCATAGACGAACTCCACCACCTGCAACAAGGAAGAAACACTTTGCTAACACTATATATCCCATTAATATTTTTAAAAAACCTTTAAACATTTATCAAATTTAGATATATAATGCCTGAAACTCAGCAGATTTTTCTAACTCTTAGTTATTTTCTGTCATGTATTCCTGGGCTTTGAATTTTTCAGGACAGTATGCACAAGGAAGGCTTTTTGCAGTGAGCCTTTAGTTGGATACAATAAGATATTCCTTTTAAACTGACATGGCATTGGTGCTTTGAGAATGTGGACCTGCTCTCACTGAATAGAGTTGTTAGCATCAGCTGCAAAGGTGTGGCACATCTGCATGGCGGTGCTTATGTGCCCTTCAACATCCAGTGGAACTGGGGGGCAACTCTTGTCAAATGTAAAAAGACCAAACATTGAGTGCCTCTGCAATAAAAAGTGTGTCGTTAAAAGGCCTAAGCAATGCAAAAGAAACTTTTTTTAAACTATTATAATGCCATTCCTTCATTCAAATCTAAATATCTAAAAATATATCACTTGATTCATGAATCTCTGAGTAATCATCATGAGTTCTGCTGTCTGAGCAGTAGCCTCTCCCTGACCTGTGAAAACAAGCGATTGGATAACATCTACATAAAAAAAAACTACCCCATTCAGGATGCACATACCTTTAACTGGGCTGTGCTAAAACTGTTAACTTCCATAAAAAAATTAACTTAACCCACTTTCCCCAATCAAGAAAAGTTGATGTGAGGTAGAATGTGACGATCACTTCCTTAGTCAAGACAAAGGCAGCTGTAAGCTGATTGGTTGGTTTACAACGAGTGAAGCTGCTGAGCAAAGACGCATCATAGCAACAAGCACTCACTCACTGAAACATCAAATTGTTGATATGGTAGGGTGACCAGACGTCCTCTTTTTCTTGGACATGTCGTACTTTTCAAACCTAAAAAAAATGTCAGCGGGGAATTTCAAAATCGTCCGGGATTTTGGTCGACTACAGTGCAGCACGTAGTCTAAACACACCGGGCACTGGAACAGAGCAGTCAGCTCTGAGGCTTGTCCGGGAACCCCGGCGGACGGGGTCAGGAAGCTAGCGGGGGACGGAGCGACCGAACCCGACCCCGTAAAAGAAGTCTAGCAAATCCTGCTTTGAATTGTCAAAGATTTTGAAAGCTGTCTTTAGTAAAATGCTTAGAGCAAATGAACAGCTGAGTATCAAACTTTGCAGGGATCTTCTGATAGACGAAAACAATCCATGCCAGTCGAGTCTTCGGTTCCTTGGGAAGACTGTGAAAAATGTCCCCTTTCTCTGTGCAGCCTGGAACACTGCATTTACACCTGTGGTTCTGGCTCATTTTCAATAGAGAAACTGCCTGCTTTGTAATTCTTGTAGAAGTAAACCCAAATGTAGGCTAAACTGGTGTCTTACATCTACCTCTATTCATGTTCTTGGGCCAGTGAACCAGCGGGCTGGTTTGTATGTTAATTTTGGGGCGTGACAAAAGTACAGGTCAGAACCAAATAAGGCACCTGTTTACCCTCCCCTTAAAGAAACTAGCAGCACAGCACTGTCATTAAATAAAATCAAACTGCCTGGAATCTGGTAGCAGACCTCTTTGGACCAGCAGACTGAGGAGTCATGGTAAAACGGGAACATTCAGCCCTTTAGATTAAATCCTACATCAGAGAACCTTCCCATCAGGTGTTATATATGTTCCATTGGTTAACAACAATTTTTAGCATAGTTATCTCTCATGCTTAAGGGGTGCTCAGAGAAAACATATAGTGACTGATCAGACCTTCTGAAGATACATAGCACAGTTTTTAAGGAGGAGCAGGGAGCATCAAGTGTTGTACATTGGCCTAAAAAACATAATTTATTATATCTCACATTAATATAAAGATGCTCTAAAAGTCACGCAGTGTTGCTTTAAGGACAATAGCTAACAGTTAAAACATTAGTAATTTAGCATGCTTCAGCATTTACCTTGACAGCCATCTGAACAGAAACTTCTCTGATGTTGGAGAGCGGAGGATAGAGTCTGCCCTCTTCAAGCTCTTTATCTGTCAGCTGCTCAGCGAGTGTCTGAAAGGAGTATGAAATCATTTTCAAGTTACAAATTGCATCTTCAACCCACAGAACTTAAGCACTACTCTAATTATTTGTCTTTAGTCTATTGGTTTCCCATCTATCTCTAAATGCAGGTGCTAATTCAAAGTAATTTTGAATGATGAAATAGAAATGACACCAGAAGTAATTTAGCCCACATCTACCATTGCAAAACTAAAGCACTGTGTGATCAATATTTGCACTGTTCAGTTAATACAAATGTAGTCCAGCCAAAGAAGGAAGCTCATAGATGCCTTTTAAAACTTCTTCTGGTACATGTTAAGCCAGAGTCTAGAAATGGACATAAAGGGTTAAGGTAGGTCTAGATGAGCTTACACACACCAGACAGAGGCGGCAGGAAAAGGAAAGGAAAGACAGAGAGAGGGAGAGGGTGCAAAGTACAGGACAGGGTCAGCAAGTTTAAAGTTATTTTTTTCTACCTTGGCAGCTTCCAAGAACACAGTATCACTAATGTGTCTCACTCCACTCAGGATCACAGCCAGAGCCACACCTGAAACAAAAACCCATAGAATGATGGGTCACAGGACAACAAGCTCACTTTATTAGTTTAAATTTATCAACGTAACTGAAGAGAGTTCATGTCCTCAAAGGCTTCATGATTTAATGAATGTCCATAATCTTTTTATTTTTTTTTCTATACCTGGAAAGATGTAAGCATTGTTTCCTTGTCCTGGCGTAAACACTCGCCCATCACTCAATGTAACCGGACCAAATGGGCTGCCGCTGGCAAACAGACATCTACCCTGTGAGACACACATACAGATAAGTAGACAAAGCGGTACCCAATAGATTCTGGTTTCAAGTTAGCTGAAAACATGACAAAAAAAAGCCAAAGAGTGTCTACATCAGTTAGTGTGTAGGCTTCCTCTGCTGTGCACTCTGCTTTATTTGTTGGGTTACTCAAGGCAAAGATAATGGGTCGCTCATTTAAGGCTCCCATGGCTTTAATGACATCATGGGTAAAGAGACGTCCAGCTCCTGCCACACCTGAAAGAAAAAAAAAAAAGGAGCACTAAAATAAACTCTTTAGCCACATCAGATAGAAATTAAAACTTGTTAATAAAAGCTTGGATAAAGTTTTTAAAATGTGCATTTTATGTTCCAGAATAAAACAAAAACTGTGATCACCGATGATAGCGGTAGGTTTGATGGTGTTAACAGCATCTAAGAAGCTCTGCACATCCCCTGGACTGTCATGAACAAAGGCCTCCTGGTTGGCATCCGTTTGCTCCGTTCTCTCCTTAAGGCGAACAAAGAGGCAGCAGATTAAAGTATAGCTCTGTGCACACAGAAGCCTTTTGCTCAATTCACTGACCTTTACGAGTAAACCGTGAGCATCATACATCCAGATCTTTTCTCTGGCCTCTGCTTGGGTCACCCCTGACTCCATCATAGCCATTACAATCAGATTGGCAATACCAAGAGCAGCCTGGAGGGAAAGCATGCAGACATTTTACACATGGAAACCAAACTGTTCATCAACAGATTCAATCCATGTTCCTTTTTCTGTTGTCATCATGGGGCAGTATCATTCTAATGAAGAAGCTGCAGTGGGTTTTCAAATGGGTGAATGCAGGCTTACCTCTCCGGCTCCCAGGAAGAGAATGCGGTGCTCGGTGAGGGGTTTGCCGATGGCTCTCTGAGCTGCCAAAAGGCCAGCGAGGGCCACAGATGCAGTGCCTGGAAACACGCAAAGTCCCGAGCCACAAAGATCATCACCTGCTTCCTTTTTACCGACCGATTCAAAAGAGTTAAAACAACCAACATGCATGTGCTGCGAACTCTAAGGACCTTGAATATCGTCGTTGAAGGTACAGTATTTTTCCCTATACTTCCGAAGGAAGCGGAATGCGTTGTGATTCCCAAAGTCCTCAAACTGAATCAGCGTCCCTTGTCCATATTTGTCCACAACAGCTTCCATGAACTCATCAATCAGATCATCGTAGGCTTGAGAGCGATCCCGTTTCTGATAGAGACCCATGTAGAAGGGATCTTTCAGAAGAGTCTGGTGAGAGCACAAACACGAGAAAGGAGGAGCAATCTTAGAATCATAAAAAAAAAAAAAAAAAAGAAGTGCACAATTAGAGCGAATCAGAGCACGGATATACTGCCTTCCTACCTCATTGTCTGTGCCAACGTCAATCACCACAGGCAGACATTTCTCAGGTCGGATGCCGGCACAGGCTGTGTACAGGCAGAGTTTTCCAACAGGTATGCCCATGCCGTAACAACCCAGGTCCCCCAAGCCTAAAATACGTTCTCCATCAGTTACTACTACAGCCTTTCAAATGAAAGAGAGGGGAAAAAAACAACAAAAAAATGATGTGAAATCAGTAAAACTGCCACTGCCATTTATTGTGCAGACTGAAAATAATGCTACAAGGTCAATAGGACAAATTTCAGAGGTCAAATATTTTAATGAATCTGTTTTATTAGTATTATCTGTGTGTTTAGGGTTAACAGATACTCACTGCCACATTAGTCTCCGGCCAGTTGTCCAGGATGGAGCGGACATGCCCTCTGTCCAGAATGGAGATAAATAAACCCCTAAGGAAAGAAAGAAAAACTTATTTTAGTTTTCTAGACACAAAAAATAAAATATTTCTGCTTTGATGCAGTCAGAAAGAAGAACAGATAAAATATTCTGACACTCAATGTTTAAACGCTTACTTTGGTCTCCTGAATATGTGTCCATACTGTGTGCAGGCCAATCCTACAGTGGGAGTGTAAACAATTGGCATCAACTCCTCTATGTCTTCCATCAAAACCCTATAAAACAACCTTTCGTTCCTCTCTTGGATCCCCATCAGGTAGATGTACCTGTGTATGACGGAAAGTAAATGAGAAAAGGAGAAACACTAATCCACAAAGCTTTCCATGTTTGAAGGAAAATGTCTCCTCACTTTTCCAGGGGATCTGTCATCTTCTTTAGATTCCTCTGAAAGCGCATAGCCTGAATGTCCTGTGTCTCCACTTTGGGAGGCAGTAGACCATGAATCCCTAAAATCTGTCGCTCCTTCAGGGTGAAGGCCATACCCTGTGGAGAAATGTACAAAAGAAAAAACAGTATGATCAGAACCAAGGGTTTTTAGAAGGAAATATTTTTAAGTCAACTTTGTTCAGCTGCTAGATCAACATCCGCAAGATTACTTATAAAAAAAAAAGAGCAACAATAATCTGACCTATTTTAGGCCTTGTGTTGGTTTTAAAATACTGTATTTACAGTAAAACTGGTGTTACAAACATTTTTCCAGAAGCTTTAAAAAAAAAAAAAAATGTGATCAAATAAACTGAATTTAAAACATGCTTTTAGAGGATACTTTGTCTCATGTGTATTTATGTATTAAGTTGATAATATTTTCTTTTAATAACCCAACTAAAAGGATTTTTTAAAACATTTGTGCATAAAAATGGGGATATGTTGAAACGAAGTTCTGCCAGTAGAGGGCGCACTGTGTTATTTATGGGTTTAATAGGGTTGACTTATTGACTCCAGGCAGCTGATGGTGAGATCTGGAAGACATGAGGGAAACCAGATGAAAGCAATTTGGCCACAGGAAAATAAAACATAGAGTCCTTTGAAAGGAGCCAATGAGGAACATGGATTGTGAAAAAAAACAGCTCTATATGGAGTGGGGATTTGTGTGTCTGTCAGTTGGGGGTTGGTATGTGTGTGTGTGTGTGTGTGTGTGTGTGTGTGTGTGTGTGTGTGGGNGGGGGGTTAGAAAAGGGGCAAATTGTGCTGACGTGGGATTTATGGAGGGGGCTACCTCAAAAAATGCCAAGTCATGCTGATTGAGCGTTTACTTCACTCAGCTCCACCATCAGCTCCTTGAGCATAAAGTGACATTGTGCCAAATAGTCTGTCCAAATGCAAAACAATGTTTAATTTTTTTTTTTTTTTTTTGCAGTTAGACGTCCCCCTGTACATGTTTTTGATTTTTAGCAATCAGAATCTGTTTACAACAGCAGGGAGAGATGCTGCATCATCAACAAAATAGGACACATTTTAAAACGGATTATTTTAGTGTGGAAAAAAATAATAATAAAAATATCATGATGTTGACTGATTAACCCAAATACTTCTCTATTCCTCTCTGGGTTTAAATAGAAAGTATAAGACAATACATAGCTGATGTATAAGCTCATTTTTTAATGCAATTTAACATAAACACACTTGAAACCAGATTTTACAAACACTTGATAAAAATGGAGGCTTTTATGTCTAAGTCAGACATTCTGGGGATTATCAGTTGCCATTTCTTAACGAGAGAGAATTTTGCATGATTTACTTCAAAGATTGTAGTTGATATGCACTGAGATAACTATACCTTTAAACAACTTGGAAAATCCCAGAGAATGATTTTATGGCTGTTCAAACTTCTGTTAAGTTAGAAAGCATGGCTGTTTTTTAACTGGACTTCATCCTGAGGAGGTTTTTAGAGCCTTCAAGAGATTTTTGGAGCTGCACAAACTCAGATCATCTCTGGGTAAAATTCAAAGATGCCTGAATGTGCTGCATTCCTCTTGTCATACATTTTTGTGCAGTTATAAAATCCAGCAGTCATCCAGGTGTGGAAGGAGACCAGCTCTTTGTTCCTGAGATGAGAATGTTTTGGTGGAGCTTAGAGACTTTATTTAGGAACCTTAGATTTTGGAGACATGTTCTATAATCTGGTCAAACTAAAACTGAAATGTCTGCCATAACAGCCATTTTTAAAATTGGAGGAAAAGCAGTAAATCTGCAAGACTGAGGACACCTTTGTAGCATGGGTTGGCAGTATCCTGCTGTTGGGCATAATGAGTATACATTATGTTAACATATTGACAAAAATGCCAAATCACAAACAGTTGCACTAATGATCAACTGAATATTGGAATCACATTTGCTCCACGCTGCAGTGTTTGGTTTTCACTTGTGATTATTGTTTTAATAAAACGTACATAAAAAGTTAGCTTTTTATTCATATGGAAATAGTTTAACCCTGGTTGGCTGTTCCTATGCAATTTTCCATGGGAATTAGAAAGAAACATTGAAAATCTGAGAAATTTCAAATGATTTATCATTAGAAAGATTTAGTTTGATTACTTTAATTATGTCCTTATAAGAACCCAGGTGGCTTGAGATCTGGGCTAAATGTTCCTGTGTTAAGTGCCACTAAATTTAGGACCAGGCAGTTCCCTGCTAGTGTACATGTATGTTGTCATGTCTATATTTAACAGAAGGTGTCTGCACCAGGCTGCATTTGGCATAGACTCCCAACATGTTACAGCAAGCTGCTAAAGCTTCATGTTGCAAATGTAAGGTGGAACTACAGGTCACTGGGAATCCCTTCAGCCCCAGTGCTGTCAACATGTCGCACATGACTTCACACCTTAGGATGTTACAAAAGGACAGCATCCGACATAAGTCACTCACTATTTGGTACCACTAACACTGTGGGCAGGTGCCAAGTCCTACTGGAAAAGGAAATCTGTATCTACCTAAAGCAGGTCAGCAGAAGGAAGCATGTCTAAAATTTCCTAGTAGATGTCTGCATTGACTGTGGACTTAAAAAAAAAAAAAAAACACTACACCAACCCCAGCAGATGACAGGGTAACTCAAATCCTCTCTGGAATTTAACCAACATGGATTGTATGCCTCTACAGTCAGTGTACAAGCTGGACATTCGATTTTGGTTTTGTAATGAGAAATCCAAAAATCCAAAAAGTTTCCTGATTTCCAAATAAAAAGAAAATTGAAAATCAACAAAAAATAACCAATTTTTACCGTTTTCATTAAAGATCCCAAATCAGAAACAAAAAGAATGACCCGTTATCCTGTTTTTCATTTCTGAAATGAAAATAATGGTGATGGACAGCCTTAAGGCTCGTGTTACTTCCTGGTGCAGAGTGGTACTGTTTACAAGTTAGCCGTGTGGACGTCCTTTTCCTTTATGCTTTTTGGTTGTAGAGCGGGTTTACATCCAAAATGCTATACCTACAGTAATAACAATAATAAGGAGGGAGATTTGTCCCGCGATGAGATTGCAGGAATATGTTTTAAAATTTGATCACATCCATCGTGGTGTGTAGGCACACATGACTCTGATGAGAGGAAGCTGAATTGGTAAAGGACATCTAGGTTTGTTTTTTATTTGTCCTTTTTCGTTTTGGAATTAAAAAAAAAAACAACAAAAAACTGATAACAAGTTAATTTTGGTTTCCAGATTTGGAGTTTCAAAACAAAAACAACAACAAAAAACATACAGGCTTGTTTTTTGTTTTCCTATTTTTTGTATTTTAGTCGAAAATAAGGAACCGGTTTTTTCCCCCCATTTTCATGGAATGCCCAAAATGACGTAATTTGGCTGTGCAGACCCCGCGGACATGTCAAACATAAACCAAGCTTGAGTCCACCCTTTGTTAATCTCCAAGTTCTACAAAAGCTTTGGCTTGAGAATCCCGCGTGTTATCCCAGTTGCTGAAGCACTTTTCTTTCTTCCACTCAACTTTCAATGAATATGTTTGGATAATTAAGCTGGAAGCTGAAAAGCTTCTTTAGTGATGAGATTCTGTGTCAACTGATGTCTTCTTGATCTTTGTCAAACCAACAGTCAGTGCAGCCTGCAGAACCAGACAGAGACTGTTCAGTAGAAAACTTCTCCAGTCTTTAAGTTTGCTGATTAGGGTTTTACTCCATACTCCAATATTCCATTTTTTGAAAGTATGATTTTACTACCTGAGTGAGTGAGTGAGTGAGTGAGTGAGTGAGTGAGTGAGTGAGTGAGTGAGTGAGTCAGTCAGTCAGTCAGTCAGTCACTCAGTCACTCACTCACTCAGTCACTCACTCACTCAGTCACTCACTCACTCAGTCACTCACTCACTCACTCACTCACTCAATACCCATCAGTTTAGACATAGATTATTTCCATGTTACAACAGACTTTGAAAAAGGCATCATGCCTTTAAGCAGGAAATGAAAGGAATAAAGGAATGGATTTAATACAATAAAAAGCCACATAGACAGTGGGATGGAACAGGAAGAATAACCAGAAACAGTGGAAGAAGGTCTGAATCCTGCCCCAGAGAAAACACCAGCTCTATAAGCCAATACTGTGTCTCCACTTATTCACAGAGGTTTGATTTATAAGACTATAAAAGTGTCAATAGGCTTGGGGGTACACAGCTGCAGTCACATTGCAGGCTGGGTAGATATTATTTGTTTTCAGCTTTTCTCAGCTTATCTCTCCTACTAGCAAAGCACTGGGGTTCCTAACTGAATTTTAGTCTAAACACGTATAAAGAAAATATGTATTTATATAAACAGAAAGATTCACAAACAAAGAAAATATTAAATATTCACAATTATAAATAAAGCTGGTTTATAAAGGTGCTTTTTCTCCACCATAGATCATGGTCGCTATTTAACACTGTGTGTACAAAAAAATTAATACTAAAAATGATCTACGGGTTTCTCAATCTGATCACATTTTATTTTCTGCTTCCATACACCTCATTTAAATGATGGGATAATTTAAAGGTAGCATTTGATGGTATGAAAGGTAAGACAAACATTTGAATCAGGTGTTCTGGAGCAACTGAACATCTAAAAAAAAACAGTTCAATTACTTTGGTCAGAATTTATTTATGAGTTTAATCATTTCTCACTTTTCTCTGGTGTTTCTTTTTATATATACACTGAGCAAACTCCAAGCAAACTGAAACCTGTCACTGCAAACCAAGTAAGAACCTTCACCTTTTTGCTAGCTGCAGGTTTGAGGCACTCGCAACCAGTAGCTGTGTCAGACTGAGGTCCGATCACATTCACATCATAAACAAAACTACTTTACAATAAGTGTGGAACGGTAACCAGAAGACCAACTCCCCCAAACAGTCTTGGTATCATTATTTTGGTTCACACTAGTGGGACTGCTATGCTAACATCTAAGCGGCTAGAACGAACCAGACAAATAGAAAAACAGTTCATTTGCAAACAGAATAAACACTTTTGGTGGGAAACACCCTGAAACATTAAGGAGTGTAGAGAACTGAACACCAGGTTTGGGAAATACCTCTACAAGCAAAGAAAGAAAAAAATTTAAAGAAGTTGCAAAACCAGCATATTCTCTGTCCAAAACATTTAAGTGGGGCTTCTGAGAAAAAAAGCCGTGTTTTTTATGCTTTAGCCACTTACAATAAATAGATTTAAAGATTTGCAATAGATGTTTGTTTGGTTTTTTAAGTTCCAACACTTCATTATCAGCGCTTATCATCATGTGGATTGTTGTGACATAACTCAGTGTTAACTGTGAGCATCAGTGGAGCAAAATGCTTTACATCTGCTTTACAAATTTAGCTACAGACGTCTCAGCAAAACACTCCCAGAGAGACGTCACAGGGAAATGAGATGTTATTAATGTATGATCATTACAGCAAATCATTTGATGAAATATTATTCCACCAAATAATGTTTGTCTACCTCTTTGATTCCATCGGGTCTAAAAATAATTTTAAAAGCTTAACTGACTTAAATCCAAACTCCTCGAGATAAACTGTGGTTTCCAAACATAAAATCCATAATGACGTAATATCATTGCTTAATTTTATTGATTAGGGTTCTAAACCATGGTTCTTAATCCCTAAAATAATCACTAGATTAAATGATTACTAAAATAAATCAACGGCTGCAGACCTATTGTCAATAAATACATAGTCCTGTCTAACTGATGAGAACATTTGTATACTTCAAACTATAATATATATATCAATCATCCAGAAGAAATGTATTTAAGATTAACTGGTTTGTCTATAGCTTCATAATGTAGTCAAAAGGGACATCTAAACACATGGTTACATGAAAGCCATAAAAAGGAAGAACATTATCTATTCTACAAACACTGCATTTATTTTGCCTGGTGTTTAGTTTCGCCTCCAAGGTCTGACATGCACTTAAACCACACAACAGAACAAGTTTCTTGCTGAACCGTGCAGTTTTCACAACAGTAATGCACTGAAAAAAATAGACCAAAGTGTCAAAAAGCTACAGTCTAAACATTTACGGATAAATCTCAACAGTAGAAGGCAACGTTTGGCATCGGACTCCCTACCTTGTTGGTGCGAGGATTAAGCATTAGGGGTTTGCCCTTTTCTTTAGTGTGGGCCCATCTGCAAATGGAGACACAAGGTCTCATGGACCAGGATGTCCTCAACCTTGACAGCATTCTGGATTGTCAATGGTCTATGAGGTCCACAGATGGAAGCTTTCTGTGAAGAAAAAAAACATCATATAAACAAAAAGCCTTGAAGTCTGTTTTTAACATGATGATCTTTTGCTAGTAAAAAAGCAGTTTTGAATAAAAGAAAATGCATACATTATTTCTACCTACTAAAATTGCACTGTTTTTGACTGTTGGTCAACAGATCCCCTAATTATCTCCTCATAACTCCATCTATCCCATTTCTTACCAGATTATTTCAACATAGCGGGCTGCAATGCTCTAATCTTAATAGCTAAACTCAAACTCAGGCATTTGTGAGCATATAGTCCCTTTGATTGACATCACAGACCCCCCTGATTCCAACTAACAATGGAATCAGGACGACAAGCTGACTTTTAATCAGTGTAATGGCCACTGAAACGGTTTTTAAACACATTTACCTCTTTATTACCCTCATTTGCACTTATGTGTGAGAAAAGTGCATTGAAAATGTGAATTCTGTCCCTTTCACATTCTGTCATCACCCTGAGCACTTACAGGCAGGTGAACACCTTCAGTTTTACCCCACCAACAGACAGAGAGCAAGTTTTGAAAGCAGGTGTATGTTTATAAAGCCATTCTGACCAATGGTTCTTCCTACCCAATAAAACACTGCATTGCTTCACCGGTGCATAGCAGCATCACTGCAGCTGCAGGTGGATCAGAGCAACATTTGTGAGTCAACCTGATAGTTCACACTAAGGGGAGATATGAACATTGCCTATTCTTAAAAACCACACTGAAGCAAGTCCCTCTGCTTGGGATTACAGCCTCTTGCAGCAGTGAGTGTCTTTAATCTAAATTCTGGTTTAAAGCAATTTAGAAGGAGCTCTGTGATCAGAAAGCTTCTCATAATCCTCTTTATTAAGAGGACAGAAGAAACACCATTGTACAAAAAAAAAAATAAATAAATAAAAAAATCACAAAAGCATCAGCCAAACACAGTAAAAACACTGAATATATCTTAGGATTTTGCACATTCCATGCTGGGCATACAATCCCAGTTGATAAACTATATCAAGAGATTTAAAAAGAAAGTCACTGCTACTATTTTAAGAATAAAGATTAAATCTCAATAGGACAGCATAAAAAACATATTTGCAGCACATACATTCCATAAGACATCCACTGTATGTTTATCTGTTGTTAGCAGGCTGGAACAGAACCATCATTGTCAAAGGTAGGTCATCCATGTAACCGCTGGTTCAGTGCCAGAATTCAGAGCATTAGATCCAAAAATAAACTTGGTAAAATTAATCCGATATGCTTTGCAGGAGGTTAACAGCAAGCAGTCAGTCAGGTCCAAACAACTATGAACAAAATTAAAGTATTATATAACTAAAGAATACAAGTCCCACATGCAACATGACATTTATCCTAGTTAGAGCAATAGTGCGCAAGATTTAAGCCATTTTGTAATAAAATCATATACAGCTGAAAGATGCAAAGGAAAAATTTACAAGATAAACAACAGTGATATTTAAGCAAAAGATGAATGTATTAAGCAATATTTCTAAATGACATGCTAACTTTACCTTCATCTACAAAATAGGACTTTGGACAACTGAGATACACTCTATTTTCTTCCAGAGTTGAGATAAAATATGTTTTTTCCCACCATTCAGTTTAGCATTTATGTGCCCTCATAAATAAATCTGAGCAACCAGCATCTTTATGACCTTATGTGCTTTAGCATCCCTGTGGTAGCTGTGAGTGACTGTTGCTATACAACAGTTAGGAAGATCCTCTTCCTTGTGACTTTGCATGACTTTCACCCATGTAAAAATCACAGCATTTATATATTAAAAATAAACTTTAAGTTTTTCAAGACACAGAATTTGCATCACTTGCTGTATGTCTGAAATTTGGGGGGGGGGGGAAATGGACAAATACAAATGGCTGAAATATAACAGTGAGTGAAGAAACTATACAATAAACAGCTTCAATGTTTTGAACTCCTGAACCATATACCTTCCCAATATTCATAAAAAAAAGATGCAGCCTTAATTCTGCAGAGCTAAAACGTGTCTGAATGCATGGTTACCTAAAAAACAGTCAGCAGTGTTTGTTTACAAAACAGCAGAGAAAGAACAACAAACAGCACCTTAGAGGTGGATTTCTTAATTTATGTTTAAACAGATCTTTCACTAGATACTTCTGTACATTACTAAGTTCTACATAAATCTCTGAATAGTCAGAAATGCTTAAAACATTAGATCTCAATCACATTTGATATGATCATTAAAATCTCATAGCAACAGTGACAGCTGTTTCTCAACATGAGACAAAAAAGGTGCAACTCTATCATGACTTTCAAGTCATCCACTACATTTCCTTTGGGGTCATATATTAAAGAACCATAACTATTATTATTTAATGATACTCTACAAAAATACAAAATAATTGCACACTGTGTTTTTTCTAATAAACATATCTAATGAGCAAATAATCTATTTCACTTACATTAAAATCATGCTACTGTACAACCCCTTATTATCTAATTAGGACTGAAACAATCAGATTAATCGTGATTAATCGATTATTGAAATTATTGTAAACTAATTTAGAAATCAATTAATTGTTAACTGGGGTATAAAAACTCAAAAACATGCCTTTAGTCAATAGAGCAACCCATCTTTACCAAATTAAAAAAAAACAAAAAAAAACATTTTGCATTTAAGATAAAAAAAAATATCTTTTTCTTCTGTCAATCTGCCCTATCCAGAACTCCTTAACCCTTTATAGGGCAAGTTAGCATTTTTGATTACTTGCATACCCCTTACAAATGGACCCCGCCTGTCCCTCAGTGAAATCTAGAAGCACAAGATCTATATCCAGCCATTCAGCAAAGATCCTGCTACATGGCTGTACATCTTATTTTGGCATTTGACCAAATAGATGATATATTACCTATAAATTAAGTTGAAAAAAAAAAAAAAGTTAACAAGTCAAGAAAAAAAAAAGGTAAAAAGCTAATTGAAAAGTTAAAAAGCTTAGTTAACAATTATATTTAGTTTATAAACTAAAAAAATTAAGTGCCAGTATCAGCATTAATGCCTCTAAGGTTATGTTGGACCAAAAAAAAAAAAAAAGTGTTTCTTTCACTCTGAGTGTTTTTCATGAATTTCTTATAGAAGCACTTCTGTTATTTTTCTTAATATATTCGGGCAAGTTGGAGTTTCTTATTACATTGACATTAAAATTAAAAATATCCATATTTTCTGAAGGTTACAAAGTCAATAAAGTCTTGTCCTGGATTCCAATAACACTATTGGCTGGAAATTTGGATTTTTCAAAGTATATCACTGAGTTCCCTACAAAAGGTTAAGTGGAAAAGTTTTAGTTTCTCCTGGTTCAATTTTGCAAAAAGTCTTCTGTATGGGACCTTTTGCTATCCGATCATTAATCGATTAATCGAACAAACAATTGAAAAATGTATCGATTTGCAAAATAACTGTTAGTTGCAGCCCTAGATCAAATTTTTTATGGATCTTTTACATGCAAACACTAAAATATGTTGAATATATTTGTCTTTATCTCTATCAATTGGAGTCTGAATGCAATAATCCAATGGGGTAAATATTCCAATGGACAGAGCAGAACAAAGCCAGCTCCTTTAACAGCTGCTTTAGGTGGCCACTGTACTTTTAATGCTTTACTAATGGAGCTATGGCACATTTCCGCTGATAGTGGAGCAGCCGTTAGCTCATTATAACTATGGAAGCGCTGGAAGAGAGAGGGGACGGGTTGTCAACATTAGCATGGAAAAGTACAACACAAAAAAATCTTCTGAGGTAAAAATAAATGTAAAAAAAAAATGCAGCAAACAGGTGCTACAAGCTAATTAGCTAGTTTACTGTTGAACATCATCCTGTTTGTTCCCAAAGGGCAAGCATACAGATTCAATTTCTTGTAACATTAAAGAATGTCACCTCATTCCAACTAATGTTATGATAATATTGTAGTATTTCTAAGGATCAACCTCCCTTTAGAAACGGGAAGTTATCCGATCATGGCGCGGGACTGTCTGTTCTTAAAGAACAGCGTCTTGGTTTACCTGCTTTGGGTTGTAATAATAGCGCTTTCCTTCTGTTAGACAGGCTAATGTTCATTCACCATGTTTCTTCGCTGTAATTATGGAAGTTTGACACCCTGGAGTGGACCGGAGTAGGCTGAAGACGCGACCTGCCCGGATGAGAGTGAAGAGGGGAGGAAGAAGGAAAGTGGACCAGAAGTTACCGCCCCCTTCCTCATTTCCTTGATTGTTATTGGTGGATTCGCTGGCATCTCAACCAATCGAACGCTGGGATTCCCTTCTCGGTTACCGTAGAGACAGAATGCTACCCGCGCGCACAGACTTCATGAAACCTCGTTACCTTACTAATTGTGGTAAAAAATATTAAAGCTAAACACAATTAAAACCTGAAACATTACATCCGAACAATTTAGAAAAAAAAATACTATTAACATGTAACCAATAACTTGAATCTGGAAATCTTTTTTATATATTTTATTTGAATTTGAATGTAGTGTCTGAAATTTTATTTTGTATTTTCATACATAAACAAAAACAAATGCAAACATTACAAATACTAGATCTGTGACCACCTCCCTTGCTCAAAAAAAGGGGGCTCCAACTGAGAGAATAAATTAGTTTACACATTTATACCTACATGGTCCAAATAAGGTTACCAAATTTTTAGAAAGTTTTGTATTTCCTCAGGCTGTATATAATTTTTTCTAACAACATGCAACTGTTAATTTCTGTGTACCATTTCTAGCTACTGCCAGAGCTATTCTAAAAAAAATAGCTTGGTATTTGATCAGAGGTTCCATTTTAACAAAATTCAAACATAGTTCAGGATCTAGAGGTGTTGAGATCTTGGTCGTGGTCAAAAATGCCAAAAATGTCTAACGTTCACGCAAGACCAAGTACAATGTAAGAATGACCTGACTTCTGTTGCACATCGAAAGCATACATCAGACAGTTCAGGTTTAGACCTGTGAATTTTATCTGGAATCGGTGATCGATGCAGAAAGTTATAACGGGTAAGCCTTTATTGTGAATTAATTGTAACAGATATGCTGTCTTGACATAAATCAGACAAAAGGTCTACTTGCAAGTTTTAAGTCTATTTTCCACCTTTCCTTAGATGTATGCAGAGGTGGTTTAGGACATTCTTTTGTCAACACAGAATACCGGAAAAAACGTTTTGACAGATATTCAGCCATGTTGCATACGCTCCATATATCTGACATCATGGACAAGAAAATCATGATAAGGGGTAAAAGCATGTGGAAGAAGGAGCTCTGATTAAACTAGAAAAAAAAAATCTTTGTGTTTGACAGAAAAAATAGCACATTTAAACTGCATATTTTTGTTTGTTTTTTTTGTCACACCAACCAGTAAAACATCACAGTCACTGCATATTGCTGAGATAATTACTTTTCTGTTTTATTACCAACAGAAGCTGGTTAAAATTGTTTGTAAAATGGTCTTAGCTAAATCGCAGAAGAAATACAAGAGAAAACAACAGAATGAGATAGATAGACAGACAAACAGATATATTTTTCATACTTTTATTTATTTCCCAAACAATGACACTCAAAATGACATATCAATCAAGAACAACAGAAATCCAGAAGTTTTTTTTAAAATATAAGGTTGAGGGAAACCCTTGAAGTGTGAATAGGCTAAATATGAAACACAAAACCAGATCAAATGTCACTTTTTCACAGATACATACGCCATAAACATATAGTTTTAATGACCTGCATAGCAACACAGAGACAGGGGCATTGATTACATTCAGCAAGCTGGAAGCATTGAGGTGTACCGAGGCACATTTTCAACATGGCTCCATAGAGTCTGGATTTTTACTTTTGGCTCAGTATGTTAAAGTTTGTATGTATCACTTGATAATGGCATTATTGCTGGTTTAGGATGCCTCCAGAATAGATTGTGCAGCAAGTATGGATTCCTAGAAATTGTAAAAGTCAAAATGCACTCAGACTTAACTAATACTGGACCGGAAAGTACAGTTTGTACTTTTTAAAATTTTCTAAATAAACAGTGGTACTGTCCTTATCCCTGTATTTCACTCTGAGAGAATGCAGCTCCAACCTAAATTAATTCCTTCAATTGGTAAGAGTTAATGGAATATATTTGCAATGGTTTAACCTGTCAACTTATAAACTAGTTGGATCAACTTAATTCAGTTAATTTTTACCAACTGTAGCAGTTTATTTTAGTCGGAGCTGCATGCTCTATTTAGACTGTACATTACTGACAAAAGATGATCATTGTTATAATCGCTGACAGTGACCAAATGTGCTTCATATTCTACATGTGCTTTACCGTAAATCTAAATAAATGCCTGGTCTAACTGTTGTTTCATCTGATGGTAGGCGCTAGAAATCTGTGTGTTAGTATCCTAAGAAAATATTTGACTGCCTACAGCTCACAGTATGCTTACAGAAGCAGATTAACATGACAGTCAATGTTGTACAGTTACAATATTTTGAATTGACATAGAAAGTCAGTGAAGAACCGAATAAGGATAAAACATGCTTCTTATTAAGTATTGCTGGCAGTGAATTTTGATCTGAGAGGTTTGACCTTCTGAACTCCCATACAGGTGCAACTGCAACCAGTGTATCATTCAAGAGCATATTGCAGCAAGGCATTGCATTTCTATTTATCACAATTAAAGTGATACCACATTCCAGAATTATTGGCACCACTGGCGAAAATGTGTACTTTATTTGAATTAACTGAAACAGTGATTTTTTTTTTTTTCTAAACCTGCTCTACCACCCAGTTTACAATCCCTGGAAGCAAGAGAGATTTCAGAAGATTAGTGAATCTGAATGTAAAAGGGTGTATGATCATTTTATTGGTGCTATTTGCTATGTCATGAAGGTAAACACACATCTGCATCACTTGAATTATTGATTTTTGAATAATTTTAGGTAGCTAAAGTTGGACGAGTTGTTGTTTCACTATACCAAAAAAAAAAAAAAAGAAAGAAAGAAAGAACATGGATTGCTGGTAAGTTCCCAGACACTAGTGAACTTAAAACAGTAAAGATCAAATAAATATGTATATAAAAATGTTTAGGAGTTGTTAAAGTAAAATAAAAATATTTCTGAAAATTATTTTCAACTGTAATGAGTACTTAATTAAAATAATAATAATAATTTATGTGTATTGATCTCACACTGGAGAAATTTATCTCTGCATTTAACCCATCCTCTTGGGTAGCAGTGGGCTGCCATTGTGCGGCACCCGCGGAGCAGTTTTGAGTTAAGGGTCTTCCTCAGGGACCCACAGTGCAGGCTGTTGGGATCGAACCGGGTACTTGCAACCTTCTCAGAGCACAAGCGCACTGCTCTAACCACAAGGCCAACAATCCCCAATAAACAAATAATTGTATGGGGGTGCTAGTAATTGTGCAGGGAGTGGTATATCCAAAAGCATGGTAGACATAACTAACAAAGTATTGTTTAAAACAACAAAAGACAGAAGCATGTGCAGTTATAAAACAATAAATTCGAAATCATTTCAAAAAGCATTTCCACATTATAAATACAGCCACTTATCAGTCTTCACATTTTTCAAAATAAATGTGAATGTTGTTTGTGTTAAAGCTTTTCGTTGTTTACATTTAAGTGAGCAGAAAGCTGTTTAGGCCTGTGGTTGTGGAAGAATAGCGTGTGTTTAGCGTGGAAAAGATTTGGTGCACAAACAGAAAACAAAGCACTTGTTATCAAAAATTAGTCCAGCTGGCAGAAGAATCATAAACGAGCTATCACCACGGTTATTTGATATTAAAACAAATTCCTAACTAACTCCAAATGTTATACATGCGTTCTAATATACAGAAAATATTTCAGAACTATTTTAGTCACAAGCATGTCTAGTGATATATTAAGGAGGTTTGAAAAATAAAATATGAACAAAACTTGTTAACATTTATTAAGTCATTGTAGGAGTGTTGAAGCATCAATAAATCAAATCCTAACAGTCTATCATGTCACACTCCAACCAATTACCTCTTAGCTAATACATTCAAATGCTTAGAAAAGATTTAGCTGTGTTACATTGTTTGGTGAAGTATATTGGAAGACTGTAAGATTCTTTCAAGAGTTAACAGGAGGGAGTTTAGAAAGACATCTAAAGCAACTTCCAAACACTTACTGAAGGTCTGCTTGAAACTGTTTTTATTAATGACTTACATTTTATAAAAGTGCATTTTTTCCAGCTTGCCAAGGTGTTCAGTTTTTCTAAAAACTTTCCGCTCAGATCTGGTAACGACATCACATTTATGTCTAACTGCAAGTAAGAAAACCAGCGGACTTGTTTTTTGTTTTTGGATCAAACTAGTATTACCAATTATTAAATGAAATGTTCAAACATTTTCCAATAGTCTCCCACTCATAATGTTGACATTTGTGTTGTATTTCTTAGAAGGAATTTGAAAAATTCCTTGAAAGCACTTAACGTGGGATGTGATTCTCTGATCAAAGCTTCAGCTTCTTTAAACAGGCATATAGCAAAGCCAATGTTTGAGATGAATTGCATTTCAGTGAAGTCCTTTTTGAGCTTTTATTGCATGAGAAGTCTTTCACACAAAGCTGCAAATGCTTTTTAACTGGAGGTTTTTCACAACATAAAGTGTTTAAGAGCTAACAAATTCAAGTTGCTACAGTGGAGTCCTGAACACACCTCTTTTGAGGGATTTTTGAAATTTGACTAATGTAATAGTTACTTCACTAAACCTGGAACTAAAATATAACATTAAGAGTTGGGAGTCTGTGATGGAGAAGTCCTGTGCTCTGAAAGCCGAGGCACCTTTCCTTTTATGTTTGCCATTTTGCTCTCCTCCATCCAACTTTCATCTTTTCCTTTCTTCATTTGAACTTTCTCTTTATTCTGTCGGACCAGCTTTAGAGCTCTAGATATGAAAACATCCAGGTCAAACAAGCGCTCTTTTTGCTTGACTGGCAGAGAATCCATGGAGTCAGCATTGGACAGCGGTTGAGACTCTGGGAGCTGCACGAGGGGAGTTGGAGGTGGCGATGAAGTCTGAGGGGAAAATATAGCTGTGGGAGATGATGGAAAGAGAAAGGGGGGGGTGTTAGAGGAAGATGTGATGGAAGGAAGCGGGCTCAGTCTGTTCTCATCGTATTCAGCTGATAGGTGATGGGTGGGTTCGTTGCAGTGGAAGACGGGGGTTGGGAGGTCAGTAGGAGACAGAGGAAGAGGGGGAGAAGAGGTGTAGCAGGAGGGTGAGCATTGCCCTATTGATGGGCTGGTACTGGGGGAGTGCAGACGAGAATGAGCGCTCTCCACCCAGCGAGTGATTTCCTGGAACAAGTCCCCTGTGTCATCCTCCTCCTCCTCCTCCTCCTCCTCCTCTGCTTCCTCTACTTGAGCTTCTCCAAGGTCCACTATGCTGCCTCCAATGGGTACAGCAGGCACAGCTAGTCTGCCAGTGTTGCGCTTCCAGTGAGACAGATCCAGAATCAGCTTTGGTTCCGAGTAATGCTGAGGCTTTCCCTCCCGCCATGCAATTTTATCCAGATATGAAGGAGAGCCCACTTTGTAATCACAGGAGCGTGCACAGTCAAGCTCCCCGTACCCTAAAGCACAGACCCGTTCCAGAGAGGAGTGAGAGCTTTCCAGGAAGCGTTCGGCTGAACTGCTATGAGAATATTTGCGGGGGTCAACCTGTGTAAAATTAAATGAAGGAAAGGGAGTTAAAAGCAAATGAATAATTCAGAAAATACATCTACAAAAGTAATCATGCTCCTTGTCATTTTACAACCACAAATATTACATCATATTACATATTATAAAGTCATGTAAAGTATGTTTTAGCCCGGAGGTCTTTAACAGGGGGTCAGCGTCTCTTAGGGGGTCCACAGAGGTACAGCATGGGGTTTGCGAAAGTGTTGGTTGGTTAGACTTTTTTTATATTACCCGCTGGAATTTTTTCCACTAATTGAAATGTCTTTAAATGCACATTAATTAAATTCAACACACTGTAGTAAACAGATAAATGGAAGCAGAAGATGTCTTTTAGTCATCAATGCACACATTCAGCGACACACAAGAGCTCTTTTGAAGCTGGGTACCGTTTCATTCACAACACCTGTCCCATCAATGAGGAATCAGAAATACTTTAATAATTCCAGGGAGGGATTACTTTCGTTACATCACTCCATATCTAATAGAGTGACTATAGGACCAGTTTGATAAAACACATATTCATACAATATATAATTAGGGGGTCCCTGCTCCATCTTGCCATCTGTTTGGGGTTCTTGGCCTGGAAAACGTTGGAGACCCCTGTTTTAGCCTATAACAGGTTTTCCCCTACAACCATCTTCCTATCATCTCTGACCAGCTACAAGTTGATTTTTATTAAGGAGTGTAAAGGTGGCCAAATATAAATATTTTTTTTTCAGTTCAAACAAAAAGATCTAAACATAAAATAAACATAGTTCCTTCCACTACACAGGTATGCAGTTCTTTAAGCTGGTCTGATATGAAAAATTCCCTTGCATTAAGTTGCATTAAGTTTGCAGATATAACATTTAGAAGGTTGTAAAAGCTTTAAATGACGTAAATACATTCAAGAACTTCACAAATAGCATAACAAACCTGAGCTTCTTCTGTCAGGGAGCTGGAACTGGCCCTCGGGTCCTTCTGCACCTCTTCATTATCTCTGTTGTCCTCCAGGTTTGGTGGAGTAGGACCAGAAGGCATGCACGTACACCTCTCGCCTGAGTACGGTGCCCATATATTAGCTGATGAACTGTCATCATACCTGCAAGCAGTCATTTTTTAATTTGATAACTGTTAATATAAAATTAACTTGTGCACAAAGACCTTTCATGTCCTTGTTGTAAATGAGAATTAGTTCTCAGCTGGCCTACCTAATCGAAAAAAATAAATAAAAAATTACATTTTGGCATCCATCAGTACATAATCTTAGACCAAAGACATGCAAGTTTTACACACACTAGTCTTATTTTGTCAGCTGTAAATCTGGGTTATAGTCATATTTTTTCTGTGTATTGTACATCCTGCTGAGGAACACTAAACACCCACAGCAGTATAAAGCTGAGGTCATTCAGATTTACTGTAACGTTCACAAAAGAAGTTCCCTTTTTATCTGCAGCAACAAGGCCAGAACAGGACATTTGACTCAGCTGTAACATCTTTTGATTTTTACTCCCCATTTATTCATATTTATAATGACAAAAAAATATTATAATTAACACCATAAAATATATTTAATTTCAGTTAGATAAGCCATAATTGGTCATAAAAATGTCATATAGACTTTCAGTTTTCTCTGTGGCCAGGATGTTTTGTTTTGTTTAGTGTTTTCCGATCTTGGTAGTCGTTGAATATGGCTTCAAATCAAATCATGGTTGCAAGAAAAAAAACATCTGTTGACTTGTGCTTCTAAGGGATTTGTGATCTTTATTCTTAAAGGGAAAAAAACACCTACTGTAACAGATGAAGAAAAAAAAAGCAAGGTATTGGAAAAGTATTCTAAAAGAAAAGTCTATTGCAACTGATTACCGATTTCTAGCAACGTGGTTTGTAAATAGAAGTAAAAAGAAAATGACCAGTCTTGATGAAATTAACCAATCTCTGAAGTGACAATAGCATTATTGTGTTAAAATACATTATTTACCTTTCCCATTGAAAGCTAGAGGCCGGGCTGTCGCTGCTGCTCAGGCTTGGCTCGGTGATGAGGCTGTCCAGCTCATCCTCAATATGAAAAGGGTGTGATGAGACGGGCTCATCCTCTGGACAGGAATACTGCTGAAGGAAAGGGTGAGTTAGAGCTTCTTCAGCTGTCAGACGGTCCATGGGGTTAAACGTCAAGATGCGCTCCAGAAAGTCCACCGCTGAGGGAAAAAAACAGGCAGGAATGGCAGATAAGGTTGTTTAAGCGAAGAATATTTCTCAAGATAAGTCTAAAGGCTATTTAAATACATTTAGTTAAAAGATACTCGAACCTACCCCTTAGTCTGACTACATTTATTCCAACATTGAATCAATTGTTTTTTTTTTTTTTACATCATGATTAAATAAAAGTAATTAAAAACTTTTATGGAAGTATGGTTTTATAAGCTGATCAGAGCATCTGGGAACTTTGAATTATGAACTCGAATTCCCGTTTCATAGATATGAAATGACACTAAACAAATAAAGAAAATAAAGCCTTTTCCCCTCAGCCACTTTTAAACAGGAAAGAAAAGGTAATATGGCATTCAACTTATCCATGTGTGTGTGGTGGGTCATAGGTTGCAAGATGGCTATAAAAAAAAGTAGTTCCTCACTTAAACTTGCTCATATTTAGTATCAGAGGAATAATAGATTACTAACAAATAAGGATGGATGATGATCCTGATTCTTTTCTAATCTCTCTAAACGCTCACTATTACAGAACTACATTATATTTGCTAGTGAGATGTTTTGAAACAGTATCAACATTTTTCTAGGTCACGTTTCACACATCTTACCAAGTTTGTGAATTAAAGGGACTAGTCGTGCGTTTTTTTGTACTCTGTCTAAGAATATTTATTTACAATACTTGATATGTTCTACTCACCCAAAGGATCCACTTCAGGCAGCAACTCACAAAAAGGAGTTTTGACTCTCCATCCATGACTGACATATGATGGCATCACCTAAAAATGTAAATGAAAAAAAAAAATCTATCTCCTTTTTCTTTTCTTTTCTTAAGAATATCTCTGTTAAAACTAATGTCTACTTAACTGGTTTTGCCAGAAAGTTGGTACCGAGCTGCAGGTTTGGTTTGTTGTTTTTTTTTTTTTTTTTTACCTTTTTTTGCTAATTCACCATTATTTAATATAGGTTCTCAATTATGAGTTTGATAATGTGCTGTTAAATCATTTGTCTTTCTGTCTTTTAGCTAACCAGTTTAATTTAATGCACATTTTTTCCATGTATGTTTCTTTTGGAATCAATTCAAATAAATACATCAAAATGTATATAGCCAAATTAATGAGCTATTTACTTTCAGATATTAAATGGTAAACCAGTATAGATCCGTGCAATATCACAAAGAAGACATAAATAAACTAGTTGATGTATATATAGTATATATAAGTCACCTAAAATCTCCTTTATTTTTTCCCATCCACTGTATATATCTGGATGCACTGTGTATACTTTATGCACCTTTTCCTCTTCTGTGCATCTTCTGTTGTTTAAGAGCCGATGTCACAAGTAAATTTCCCCATTGTGAGATCAATAAAGTTCTATTTTATTCTATTCTATTTTATTTTATTTTATTTATTTTAAGATATCCGTACTACACACTTATAGTGAAAAGGTACTGACAGAGGATAGATTTTAACCATAGATCTAAAATGATCAATCTGAGCTGTTTTACCATCCTTTACAAATGCTCTACAGAATGAGAAATTTAAAAGCTTTCCCCACCTTTGGACTTTGATTTTGCGTCCGAAGGTGTGCCGTACCGTTACAGTAAGCTTTTAAAACAGCTTATGAAATGTGTAACATTTTAACCAGATGTTGAACTTTTAACCAGAAACTTAAACTGCGTCATATTTCCCGTAACGGACCTCCCTTTTATGATTACATCCATATTTTTTAGCACGAGTGTGTTGAAAGTATGTAATCTATATTTTTGTTACAAAATTGGTATGTTGAAATCTGTATTAATACCAAGAGTCAATTTAAAATCCTAAATGTCATTATAGCAACAAAGATTTTCATTGACCCACAGTATATGCAGAAGATATAGCATCAATGCAAAGCTGCTTCAATAAATAAGGGCAGGTTTGCAGAAAAATCTTTCTGTGATACTAGGATGTGAAACTGAACTACTTTGACATCACTCCACAGACATAGGGGATTTTTTTTTTAGATGTGATAACCTTCTGGGTACACTAGGAGATTAAGGAAAAATATATATAAAATTGGTTTAAGAGACATTGATTTTGCACAATCAACTAATGTGATATTATAGTTATGTGGCTTGCAATGCCCTCTGGGGTCTCACCTGTAGAAGATCTTGTCTGTCCTCCTCTCTCAGTACAGGCACTGTATCAAGAATCAGCTGCATCTGTTCCAGCTCATGGGCTCCTGAGAAAGAGAGACAGCCAAGCAGAGACAGGCAAAGAGGAGAAAGAAGATTGGTTACATAAGTATATAAAAACATAAAGTCAAACAATAATAACCCAGAAGTGTGAGATGACGACACAAAAGAGGATTCAGTTGAAATAATGTAGACAGGCGGCAGCAGTGAGCTTTCATGAAGTTAAGGCAGGATTTTACAGATGTAGTTAAGGCATTACAGAAAGAGCCAGTGTTCTCTGCAGCAGCAAGGACACCTGAACTTTACACAAAAATATCTTAAGGACAACAGGAGGTGGTGCTAAATAAGCTCTTAAAAACGAGTAACATATTTGGTTGTAAGTGCTTTATTTCTTCCCTAATAAACAAAATCACAAGTCTACCGCTTTCCTAAAATTTAGGGGAAAGGTGAGCAAAACATCTCCGACACCTGATGTGTGAAAGTCTCACATAACAGGACTAGCAGGGGCAAAAGGATGACCTTTCTGAGTTTTTTTTTTTTGGTCGTCCCTGTGGTGAAGAATAGACAGTGGAGGTCAGAATCAGCTTTTCAGCTGGAAGTACGTTTGCTTCAGACAGGCAGCATTTCTCCACCATCATTGATATTCTACTCAGGCAAAAAAGTAGCCGCAGGAAGGGAGGAAAGTGTCTTTGGTGGAGGACAGAAAAGTAAAAAAGCAAAGCTTCTCCTGGCGAAAGTGTTCACTGCTATAAAATCTCTTAAACTCTGCAAACAAACATCGGCAGCTTATCAACAAACATAACCATGATTGGAAATTACTATTTTGAATGATCAGTGTTTTTATTTAGCCTCCTAACAACTTGAATTGTATTTCTTTATTTAATTAATTAGAAGTTAGTATATAAAATTTTTTATATTACTGTCTCACAATGATGCTTTGATATAGGATCTATCATAGTACCTGCAAAAAGCATTCGTCCAGTGATCATCTCAGCCAGTATGCAGCCAGCAGCCCACATGTCTATGGCCTTGGTGTAATTGTTGGGGGACAGGAGCAGACGGGGGGAACGATACCACTTAGTTACCAAACCCTCAGACAGATAGCCCTAAGGGGTCGGGTGTAGAGGTAGGTGAAGAGAAATAACATGTGAGTGATGCAACAATTGAATATAAATGGAATACATTTCACTTTTTCAGATATTCTTATTACAACCACAAACTTCAATGTCTGTCCGTTGGGATTTCTGTGACAAAACCAACACTAAGGAGTGCATGTAAAAGAGTTTAAGATTATTAGTAACCAAACAGTTTTTATGAAAACCAATGAATACAGAAGAAAGTTGTGGAGTTTAAATACAAGCTTTGTTCTTTCTCCTGTAACTATATATTTACGGCATAAACTCTAAAAACGCTTTTTTTCAGCTGGAGAGACGACTTTCCATTATAGAAAAAAATGTCTCATCTTCTTTTCTAAAGTTTAGTATTCCATCTAACTGTCAGAATCTGAAAAAAGTTTCTTCGTTATCTTCATCTTCATGATGTAGTGTGGAGTTATTTGTGCAGATAACAGGCAGGTCAGTTGGCTAACTGAAGAAATCTTGAGGAGAGAGCAAAGATATTTCTTTCAAAATAGATATTCGAGATGGCGTTTTTTTCACTTACACCTTAACTTGTTCTTGTTTTATGCAGCATGCATAGATATGTTCACTTTTGAGGTTATAATACTGTATTAATACTTTGATAGGAGGGTACATTCTGGTCTCCCAAAGTAAAGGTCTGAAGTTCTAGTCTCTAATTGAAAAGATTGTTTCCCACTACTGAATTGGATGATTTGTGTATCATTAAACAAGCTTTTATTATTTAATTCTAATCCATTTACAGTTCAAATGGACAATTTCCTTTTGCATATTACCAGATCTTAAACTACAGACGGGCACTATTGCATTTATTCAAATAAAAATTTGTTCACATTGTCAAAATTAACTGGGAAGATTTTTTTAAAAATTTTTTTAAGCTCAAAGCTATCGTTTAGAAGATTATTAGATTATAAGATTATTTAGAAAATATAAGCCAGCTTTGTCATACATGGTTTGGTAGACTTCAAAATTAAAACTAAATGTCTTTAAAGACGGTAACAATAAAAAATATGCTTTTCTTTGTTTTCCTTCTAAGCAGTAGGTTATAAGCATTACCCAGCAAGTCAATTCCTTACAGGCTGCCCACACTGATCCTTAACCTTTATTTATACAGATCTCAGCAGGGGAGCTCTACAAAACTCAGCCGGACTTAAAGTGGTTCTGCAAGGCTTTCCAGGCTAGCTTTATTAAAGAGCAAATCTTACAGAGACACTGGCATTAATCTCCTGTTGTCCAGAAATGCAGCACAACTTAGTAGCTGTAAATAAGTAGTTACAATTCTTTCTGGCAGGTTTTTATTTGCTTGTCTCGTCTTACTGCTCTTAGTTTTCCACATTTTACTCCTGCGCCATTTTTCCTCGTCACCTTTTCTTCCACTGGGACACTAGTTCATTAATTCCTGTTATTTTACTGTCTCAACTCCACATCTCTTTTCTCACCCCGTCCTTTATTCTCCTGTCTTTCCCCTACATGTTACCCCCCCTGCTGCCTGTTCTGGTCTACATTGCAGCAAATAACCAAAATGAGCACTTTGACATTTTCTATCTCTATGCTGCTTTGATTTGCCTTAATCTGAACTCTCCCTTCTTCGTCTGTCAGACAATCTTTTGCTTGCTTTATATTTTTAGGAAATGTTTAGATAAACTGGTAATGCAAAATGAAAACCCATGTAGATCTTAGAATAAAAAAGGCATATTTAGAGTGTGTTTAAGTACTTAAACATTGTGTCTGTTAAACAGTTTTACATTACAACCACAAACCTCAATATATTTAAATATTGCATTATATATCAGCAAAAAGTAGAAGATTATTTTAAAATGGGGGAGAGGAATGTACTGGTATTATTGTTTAAAAAAGATTTCTGGGAAATGTGCACATGAGTTCAGTTCTTAAAACTGTCTAGAACAACCTTTTAATGCAGTTACAGCTGAAAATGCAGAGATTTACATTCATTCTTTGGAGTATAGATCAAGCTCAGCCAGATCAGATGATAGCATTTTCAAGTATTGTCATATACTGTTTATTTAGCTAGATCATAGCTCTGAACCTTAAAGTGGAAATGAGTTGCTGAATCCATTCCATTTTAACTCTGTTTACGATCCTAATCCTGTATGACTTTTGGAGGATTATAAAATGCAGACCAAACTTTTTTCAATTTGATTTAGTAAAAAAAAAAAAGAAAGAAAGAAAAATAAAAACATGCATAAGTTTTATTCCAAAATACAACTCTGTGTTAGTCTGTGATATAAAATGTCACATAAAGGTCCGCGGTTCTAACCACATGCAATATGAAAAGACTATGTGAAAACATTGCATAAGCAATACCTGAGGGCTAATTAACAACACAAACCTTTTGGCACATTTCCTCTTCCTCTCCTACTTTCCTCTCTATTTATTTGGTCTGACTCTTTTTTTTTTTTCCTTTGCCCTTTCTTCACATTTAACTGGGTCTCACTTTACTGCAGATTTGCTTCCATTCTTTCACCTGTTTCTTCCTTACTTCCTGCAATGTTCCTCTATGTGATAGATTTTTTTTTTTGTACCTTTGTTTTCACTTTTTTTCTCTCCACCATTCTTCACACACGCATCCACCCTCAGAAACAACAACTTCCTACAGTAATATATGTAAACAGTATCACAATAGATCTCTTTTTGCTCTTTTTCTGGGGTTCTTTTGCTCTTCTAACAAAACGTATAACCAAACCAGACTGATATAACTCACTTATGCCCACTGATTCAAATATAAGGACAGGCCTTACAGATTGATCCTGGTTCTGATGCAATGCAGTGGAATCAGTTTGAAATTCCAATCAATCATAAATAATTCAAGAGTTACCCATCCACCTATGAAGACACAGCTAATTCATTCAGATCATTAACTTTGCAGCAATCGCTCCATCTGAGCAAAAAGTGTACAGTGGACTGCCAAGACCAAATGGGCATTAAAAGAACAGAGAAGACACTGGGTCAAAACCATGAAAAAGGTCCAATATCTAACTTTTTAAGTAGTGAGGATTACAATGGGCTGTGTGAAACTATACCAGCTAATGAAGTAAATTAAATAAAAAAAATACCAATTTCATGTAAATTTAATAGAAAGTAACTTAATTCTGCTAGAAAGTGGGTGATATGTTCAATTCAATACATTCAATTATCATGATTTTGGCGCTGATGGCCTGATTACTCATTTCATTCACCTGCCTATCTCCACCCAGTTCTCATTCATTTGATCCACCTGCTTCAGCCTCTATTTAACCAGCATTCAACCAGTCATGAGTGCCAGATTACCCGAACCATTGTTGAGAGTTCTCTAGCGTAGCTGTGTTTTTTCTGATTGCCTGACCTGTCTTCAGACTTCTGCTGGATTTTTGCCTATTTGTGTACATATCTGGAACTGTTTCCTGACACCATTCTGGATTTCCCTTCGGCACCTCTGATCTCTTGGCTCTGACTGCCAAGCACGTCTTCGACACAGGCTTTGGCTTCACCCTCTGGATTATCCTGCCTTTATTCGTCTATTCGGTTCTGATCGATGCTGTTCTCCACAGTTCCGTCTCAAATAATATTTTTTTTGTGTGTTTTTTTTTTTTTTATCTAACTGTCTTTCCGCCTGGAATACTGGGTCTTATGGCATCTAGCTTGCTGGGTCTGATTATCTCTGATCTTCCTCATGGTTTAAATTCTGTATATGCTTAATGCTAGGACAATACAAACTACTTTGACCAATAACAAATATAGTTTGCTGTATATTCACTTGAGCTCTAGAGGGCACAGCAGTTCAGCAGCTTCAAAATTGAAGGTGGGTAAAGTAGCCAGAGATTGTACTAAAATAAGGTGTAACTTCAAAATAATTATTTAAGTAAAGGTTTAAACTACAGTAGCATAAAACTATTGCTACGAGTATTTTTTTTAGTAAAGTTTTTTTCATTTAAACACTTTGTTAGTTATAAGTAGTTACTACCCACCTCTAATTAACACTCATATAGGCACTCAAACACAACCATCTATTTTTTACATGTTTTTTTCCTTTTACAAAACAGGAAATTTGTAGGTTTATCCAGACTGTCCAAACTAAACTATAACAGCATTCCGATTTTTAGTAAAGCAAAACATTTATAAACCATAAAGCTTTATAAATTCTCTAGTGTTCACAGATTTGATTACACCTGAGCTATTTTGCAGAGTAACACCTAAAGCACATCACTCAAACATCTATGCACACTGCAGAAAAGAGCCATCAGGATCAGTCACAAGGCTATTTATCATGACCACACTAACCCAAAATTCATTTCTGCTTGCCTAAATTTTATGATCTGCTAGCGTTTTAAACTTCACAACTAATGTATAAAGCTACAAATAAACAGCTACCAGACAGCACACAAAAACTTTATTTCAAGAGAGAAACTGATTATCTAAATTTGAAAACTTCAGTACTGTAACAAATATGAGAACAATGAGCATTAAAATTAGCATTTCACTCAGTGTTGAATTAAAGCAACGTTCAAGCATGAAACTGTTAGGAAAATGCTCAAACTGGATTTCTTAAAAAATATGAGATGGAAGAAGGGTGTAAATGTGTGTAAATTAGTATATATACATTTATATGTGCACAAAGGAATTTATCTGCTTACTTAATGGTCTTTTAGGGCAGTATGGACTCCTACAGTACGAATCAGGAGGATTGTTGGTGTTAAGGGGTATATGAAGGAGAAGGGTATAATTAAATAAGTTTCACTTCCCCTTCTCAGATATAAATGATAAATACTTTGTATAATGTAAAACATATACTATCAATAATATTATTAATTATACCATACTTGTATATACTAGATTGCCTGAGATAAATAACAAATGAATCCATCCATCCATCCATCCATCCATCCATCCGATCTTTCTGTTTTCTCTGTCTGACTCTTTTTTAACCAATTTTCTTTTCATGTTTCTGTTTTATGTTAGAGTGTTTGTTCCTA